GAATTCTGTCTTTTCCTCCTGAACCCTGTGGCAGAACTGAAGACCGACAGCTCTGAATATGAGGTTAGTTTCAACTTTAGAAGATCAGAATAACGCTGGAGGATAACTGCGTTCTGGCAAATTTCAGCCATCGATAAGCTGACACCAGAATTGAATAAATGAGACGGTTTGAATAAAAAGTGAATACAGCCTGAATATGACTAAAAATGTCATGAGCTGGTTTTCTGGACACAGATTAAGCCCCGGCCTAAAAAGCAAGCTCAATGGAGAGTTAAAATCAGATTTCAAATACTATTTAAAATATCTAAATTACTTTCACATACATTCAAAGTAAGTATTCAGATATCTTTTATTTGATAAAAGCAGTTGAATATTTTACTGTATTTGGAAATACACTTGGAAAGTATTTGGAAACACTAATACACTGACTCAAATACACTCTCATGCATTTAACCCAGGTGTTTGAAAATAGAATTTGAAATAAGTATTTGAAAATACTCTCAAATATAATTTGATAGACTATTTGGTTTTTAACAAATAACCATTCAAATACTCAAATAAAAGTACTTGTTTTGGGCTGTGTATTTGAAAATACTAAAATACACAGAAAAAAGTATGTTAAATCCCAGAAACTCGACATGTATTTGAACCCAGGTCTACTTAAAATACCTTTACTCCACACAAAAGGTTCTTAAATGGTTCTTCCTCAGCTCTTAATGTTCCTTGGAGAACTCTTGCCCGATAAAGAACCTTTGAGTTAAATGTCAGTTTCTTGGTGTGGCATCTACGGTTCTTCAGAATTCTTGAAATGTATGGAAGCCTGCAGAACTGTCCCTTTCATAGCACACAGCAAATTGGCCACTGTTAACTACTGTTGCTTTTTCAGTGTAACATTTCTAGTGTTGATTCAGGAGTTTAATTAATACTGTAAAGAGTTAAGTTGACTCTCCGTGGTGTTAAAGAACCCCAGTGTTGGTGTTAATAACCAGAGTTGGACCAAAACCACGCCCATCATTATCATATTTTCGAGCATGCTCTATTGCAGGTTGATTTTTAGAATTGTTTGTTTCAATATCAGTTTTTGCATGTACATTGATTTATTATTTAATCTTATGCTACTCAAATATAAATAACAGATTTTTCTAAACTAGTCCAATCTGTTACTTGGATTTATTGCACCCATTACTGAAATAATGTTTCTAGTTTAAATCCTTTAGGTAGTCTAATAGTCCTCTCATATTTACTTAGTATCTCACTTGGTGAAGGCCACAAGAATGAAAATGAATTAATGCAACAACCGTGTCTCTGTCACTAGCAAACACAGTCATAGGTGGTACTCGTAACTCAAAAATTCACTTGAAAGGCACCATGGGAAATATGCAAATAAGTCTCAAGACCCTACAGCAGGACTATTCAATTCTGCTCCTGGAGGGCTGAAACATTTCTGTTTTTTGTTTCTACCTAGAGTTTTGTATGGTTCTTCAAATAACCCTCTAATTTAAGGTTCTTCAGAGAACCTAAAATGGTTCCCTATGGCATCGTTCTGAGGAACCTTATTTGGTTCCAACTTTAACCTTTATTTTTTTAAGAGCCATGAACTAGGATTAATCTGGGGAAAAACCACCCCCAAATTCGGACAATGCTGAACCGCAAACCCCCACTACTCCACTAGGCCACCGAGTGCTTCTGTTAAAGGATATTTATCTTTCCTCTAATGATATCTTTCCCTTCAATGTTCTATAAACTTTACCCTTAGTTTTCCACTTACCCTGAAAGAAGTCTATGTCATCTGTGTGTGGTGTTTGTCGCCCCTTGCAGGAGGACCCGGAGCTGTACTTCAGGGACCCCTGGCAGCTGCTGGAGCTAGTGACAGAGCTGGAGGAGCAGAACCTCTCTCTGATCCAGAACTCCAGGGAGACCGAAGAGGCCCAGGAGGAGTTCCGACAGGTCATGGACTACAACCGCAAGAAGATGTAAGAAAGGCCTGCAGGGGTTAGAGGTCAGAGGTAGATAGAGAGGGAAGAGAGGGCCAAGATGAAAGTGAATGTAGAGACTACCATAAAGTTATTGTAGATAGGCTAGAACTCAATGGTATAGCAGAGTTGATCTCTACATAATGTGGATGCTCGTACAGTCGGACTTCACTTATAAAAAGGAGGACGAGAAATTATGTTGACTGACATTGACAAGAGCAAGGTTTTATGTCAACACTCTACCCTCTATAGTTCCTTCTCTCTCTTTCCTCACCTGCATTCGTTTCTATGTGTGTGCACGCCATCCCCCACTCCATCCCTCCCCCTCTCTGAAGGGAGGTGGAGACCAACCAGCTGACCCAGCAGATAGACATCATGACCCACACCATCCAGAGGGAGAAGGAACGGGCTGCCGAGCTGGAGCTAAGGGCCCGCCTCTTCAGGTACGCGAGAGCTGGAACACAGCCTCGTAGGAGACCGTCATATAGGCTAGTCACTTTGGCCCTATTCCATTTAAATCTCTAGGTCCACGGCTTTAAGCTTTAGGCTCTGCCTAGTGGCCTTTGGTTAGTTAATTAACGTAGTTAGTTGATGCATAGAGGAAGAAACTCAGGTCTGTGCTGCCGTCATAGGCAGTTACATTTCATGTTCCATGTGGTAGCTGGGTACCAGAGCAGATTATTTTATTTTTTGTTTGAAACATATCGAGCCGTTTAGATTAAACTAATCTACCCTTCTCCTATTTTCCTCCCCATAATCCTTTCCTCCTTCCCTTCCCCAGGATGCGTGATGAGAAGATGCGTCAGGACAAGCAGAACCAGGAGGAGAGGCTGAAGAGGGCCCTGGAGAGAGCCCAGGCTGACGTCAAGAAAACAGTCAGTCACACAACCTGCCTCAACACTACACCATTACAATCCTATAGGCCAAAGTTATGAGGCAAGTTCTGCCCGAAAATCAATGTGTAACATTAAGTTTTCATTAGATGCCTATAGGCTAAATGAGATTATATTGCATTACTAAGCCATTGGTTTAGTTACCAGGGGGGCTGTTCTAGTACAATACAATTGTATAAATGTCATGAGTTAATTTCGTATAATTGTACTAAAGAAACCATAACATTGTGTTCTCTTTATTTGCTGATGCTAACATAAGGCCTTTTTCTCTAGACTGTCAAGAAACTGATGGCTAGATCACAGCGCCTTGCCCGCAAGCTGAAGACCAGCCAGGTGTATGACATCTCAGACAAGGAGAAAGAGGAGCAGCTCTACTTCTTCACCTAAAGGGACAAGTCACAACACGGCCTCATATGCCACAACTGACCGGCACTCATTTAATCTCTGTTTTGGCCTATTGTGGGCTGTGACTGAGTCACTGTAAATACTGACTTCATACATTTTGGGGTATGACGGGTATAAGAATGGCTTTTACAACGACACTATTGGGCGCTGGTGATGTCACATGATGGGATAGGACCTACTTCTTTTGCACTGGCTGGATGTTTATTTTGAGGCGGTGGTGGAGCACATTTTACATTTTTGTCATTTAGCAGACGCTCTTATCCAGAGCGACTTACAATTAGTGAGTGCATACATGTTTGTTTTTTCATAGCACGTGGACTTTGTTTTGGTGAAGAGCTTTATGAGGCAGGTGGAGAGTGCTCTCCCCACATATTTAATAGAATTAGATTTTACCATACCAGACTACATTTTATTCATTTATTGTGCTTCTTATTTACCTTATATGTGAATAGCAGTTGTATGGCCTGACTGCTTGCATGGACTGACTACTCTAGCCTCTTTGGGGAATTCAATGGGAACCTAAAATCTTTATAACAGAGTGAATCCAGGAGAGCCAGATAGAAATCTGCATTAGTCCATAACACAAAAATATGCTTATTGTACAAAATAAAATGTTGAATTGTGCTTCAATCCTTTATTTAAATTCCTGGCAATTGGATTGAGTATTTTGTAAAACAAGGCTAATCAATAACTAGATTGAAGTCGTCACATATAGATAAGCATTACAGATATTATAAACAATAACTAGATGGAAGTCGTCACATATAGATAAGCATTACAGATATTATAAACAAGTGGACCGGCAACGTTTTGAACATGGAACGCACACGTGTCTCATTCCTACATAGCTCATAAGACACAGCTGTAGAAAAATACATCTGACCCCACCCACCACCAAAAAGTAAAAACTTCATAAAAGTCTAACAAACAGAAAGCGTATGCTAAATGGATGCGAGTACAGTACGTCATGTCTGTAAGGCATTGTAGACAGAAGCTCTGACAACAGCACACTGTGTATGAGTATTCAGAACGTGGCACCGTAGCTGAGACCGACAAGACGTCACAGTTTGACTAGAAGCACGAGGGATCTAATGGATGTGCAAAACGACAGTCTCTCTTTAAAAGACATGATTGTGGTACAAACAGGATTTCAGAAATACAGGAAAAAGTGAGTGGAAAAAATTCCACAAATTTAAACTTTCATTTCATTTATCATTCAATTCTTCCCAAGGTGCATTTGGTTCTGGGTTCCACTTCATCCACATCCCAGATGTACAGAACTTTCTCATCTCTCTCCTCCTCACTCCAGGTCCTGCAGGTTGATGGTGCTTCCTGTGAACTGGGAGTTGTCCGAGCCGTTGTCGTCCTCCGTCATAGCAGGAGGTTCCTGAGGAAAGGCAGACAGAAATTACTAATTTATTTCTCATTTCTACAATTACAGTACAGGCAAACACACCTCAATCGCTGACATTCAAATACAGACCTAAGTAAAAGTTTTGCCTAAATCCCTTCCATCTTTAGTTGTAAAACATCTCCATTTCAGGATTGCAGTGGTTTTCACTCAAACTGGCAGCTCACTACCTATCTGACTACATATTATTTTTTTTTACATTTTAGTCATTTTAGCAGACGCTCTTATCCAGAGCGACTTACAGGTAGTGAGTGCATACATTTTCATACTGGCCCACCGTGGGAATCGAACCCACAACCCTGCGTTGCACCAACTGAGCTACACAGGACTGTTTGGACAGTTTGTTTTGTCCAGTTAAAAAGAGACTCTTCACCACTTTAAACCTCATATTCATCATTTCCAGCACCATACCAGTGTCTAGATTTTCTACATTCTGTATAAGAAACGGTCCTAAGAAATGACTTTATGATCTCATGGGGAGTACTCACCTGTAGGATGTTGACTGGCAGGTCCACGGTCAGCTGGGAGTGGGAGCTGGAAGGCTGGGAGCTCAGCTGAAAGGCTAGGTCCCCTTCGCTGGCCGGGTCATCCTGACACAGACAAATACTTTATATGAATCCATTCATCACATTACATTCAAAAGGATAGAAAGGTCAGATGCGTGGATACAAAAGCACCTTCTCCATATAGCCAGGTGGCCCCTGCCAGCGGACACACTCTTATTTAGGCCTGTAATACATGCCTTCACCTTGGCATTCTGCTCTGTGCATTATAGAAAGAAATTTTGAAAGAGTTTTTTTTAACAGCATTCTAAGTGTTTCTGTTAGAGAACCTTCTCACCTGCAGGAGCTGAATCTGAACATACTGGGCCCCTGTGACAGGGTCACGGATAGTCAGCCCCCCATTGGCTGCTGCAGAACCTTCACCAAAACGGGCACTTGTGGGAACCGTTGGCGCCGAAGTGCTGCTGGCCTTCCCGCCTTTACTCTTCCTCTGGCCCAATCCTGAGCTTGCTGTGAAGACAATGACAACAAAACAGCTTTTGAATGCACCACCAGCTGGTTCAATGAGTTTCCACATGCACTGCTCCAAAACAAATGCTAGCCAGGACATTGCTCAATAAGCAGCCACCAAGGAAATTGTTCCTGTTCTATTCTAGACCCATGACGGAGTTGAGTGAGAGTTATAATGTACCTGAGCAGACCCATGACGGAGTTGTTATAATGTACCTGAGCAGACCCATGACGGAGTTGAGTGTTATAATGTACCTGAGCAGACCCATGACGGAGTTGTGTGTTATAATGTATCTGAGCAGACCCATGACGCAGTTGAGTGTTATAATGTACCTGAGCAGACAGATGACGGAGTTGAGTGTTATAATGTACCTGAGCAGACCCATGACGGAGTTGAGTGTTATAATGTACCTGAGCTGACCCATGACGGAGTTGAGTGTTATAATGTACCTGAGCAGACCCATGACGCAGTTGAGTGTTATAATGTACCTGAGCAGACAGATGACGGAGTTGAGTGTTATAATGTACCTGAGCAGACCCATGACGGAGTTGAGTGTTATAATATACCTGAGCAGACAGATGACGGAGTTGAGTGTTATAATGTACCTGAGCAGACCCATGACGGAGTTGAGTGTTATAATGTACCTGAGCAGACAGATGACGGAGTTGAGTGTTATAATGTACCTGAGCAGACAGATGACGGAGTTGAGTGTTATAATGTACCTGAGCAGACCCATGACGCAGTTGAGTGTTATAATGTACCTGAGCAGACAGATGATGGAGTTGAGTGTTATAATGTACCTGAGCAGACAGATGACGGAGTTGAGTGTTATAATGTACCTGAGCAGACCCATGACGGAGTTGAGTGTTATAATGTACCTGAGCAGACCCATGACGGAGTTGAGTGTTATAATATACCTGAGCAGACCCATGACGGAGTTGAGTGTTATAATGTACCTGAGCAGACCCATGACGGAGTTGAGTGTTATAATGTACCTGAGCAGACGGAGGGTCCTCTCCGTTTCCTCTTCTTGGCCAGCTGGATGGCTCTGTAGTCGGTCCGCGCTGAACCACTACTCTCCTACAAGACAGAAAGGGAAAAATGGGACGCATAAAATAACTGCCGTGACTCCAAACGAGGACACATAACAATAACATCTCATCTCAACGGATGTCAGACCTTAAATGGATTGATGTCAAATGGGTTTGTGGTAGGGAGATCTGACTCGAGATCTGTGGTTATAAAGAGCAACTTCAAATAAGAGTATACTAGTGAGTCTGCACATTCCAAAAACAGATCGATAGAGATTAAATATGATACTGTTCTATTTAATCCACTCATCAGTGCTTTGAAGGGGAACTTGTAATCAGAGCGTCAGTTAGCGAGCCACTCACCAGAGCATTAGTTAGCGAGCCACTCACCAGAGCATTAGTTAGCGAGCCACTCACCAGAGCATTAGTTAGCGAGCCACTCACCAGATCATTAGTTAGCGAGCCACTCACCAGAGCGTTAGTTAGCGAGCCACTCACCAGAGCATTAGTTAGCGAGCCACTCACCAGAGCGTTAGTTAGTGAGCCACTCACCAGAGCGTTAGTTAGTGAGCCACTCACCAGAGCGTTAGTTAGTGAGCCACTCACCACAGTGTCAGTTAGCGAGTCACTCACCACAGCGTCAGTTAGCGAGCCCACTCACCAGAGCGTTAGTTAGCGAGCCACTCACCAGAGCGTTAGTTAGCGAGCCACTCACCAGAGTGTTAGTTAACGAGCCACTCACCAGGAAGGAGTAGGGTAAGACGGCTGAGCTGTGGCTGAGCTCGGACTCCTTCTGCAGGCTGAACGAGCTGCCACCGTCATGGCCCGGGAACACACACTGGGTCAGCACCTTGCCCCCCTCCTGCTGCCCCAGCACCTCCACACAGCCCAGCAGAGGCCTGCCGACACCCCTGCTCCCTCCAGCCTCAGCCACCTTAGAGTGGGACGAGAGGAGCTCGGGCCCGGGGGGGACAGCCAGGTTTGAGGGGGAGGGCTCGGTGGACAGGGCGCTGGAGGAGCTGAGGGTGTGGTGGTCCGCGGAGGAGCTAGCAGCCTGCATGGTGAGGACTGTGAGTGAGCCTAGGGCCTCGGGGGTGACCTTCTGCACGTTGTCCAGGTTGAGGGTACCCCGAGGAGGGAGGGCTCCCCCGACCATGTCTTCCCCGGCCGCCAGGATGAGCGGGTCCAAGGAAGCTTTGGCCACGGTGGCGCCATGCCCGGACGTGCACAGGGCTGAGCCAACCGAGGCCGGGTTGATGGTGAGGATTCCTGAGCTGACCAGTGACAGGTCCATGGCGAAGGCGCCTACAGGCACCCCGACCCCGTGGATGGTGGGCGAGGGACCCCCGGGCACAGCAGAGAACAGAGAGCTGAGGTCCAGGTGGGCCAGCTGGTCGCCCCCGGTGACCCCTGGGACGGTTCCCGTGGTGGTGGCGGCGCTGACAAGCTCGCTGCTGGGGGTCAGGGTGGGAGTGGCCTCCAGCTGGCTCAGCACGTCTGATTGGAGGAGACAGACACAAAGTCATTACACAGGCAGTGGGGGTGTTTGAGCATGTCTTTCTTGAGGAACAGCGTGCGTGTGTGTTCCTTACCGGGGTTGAGGTGGTGGTGTTTGAGCATGTGGCTCTTCAGGCTACTGCAGGAGGAGAAGTGCTTGCTGCAGTTGGCCACGGGGCAACGCGTCCTCAGGCTGCCAGCGTCCTGCTTGTGTTTCTTCGAGTGGATATACAGACTGCTCCGCGCTGAGAACTTGGCACTGCAGCCTACAACACAGTAAATAGGGCAAATGCATGTTTCAATTAACCCTACATCTAGAAAATGACCAGACATATTAAAAAAGTGACAGTGGCACAAATGAGTGACACCTACCATCTACGTGGCACTCAAAGGGCTTGGTGCCCAGGTGGGTGATGCTGTGGCCCTTGAGGTGCTCTGCCCGGGTGAAGGACTTGCCACAGCCCTCCTCTGGGCAGGTGAAGCGCCTGTCATCGTCGTGCTTCCTGAAAACACAGTCGGGGGGGGGGGCCAATGTGGTTCAAGGTTCAATTTATTTTTAATACATATACAAATAGAATACAATTCTTACTCCCATGCCTCCGGGGTTTCAGATATGGGCTTGATGGCATTCCAGAAAGGGACACATGAAACTTGTTGTGTTTTGTAATTGCGAGATACTTTGAATAAAAGAGTCTGATAAATGACCATTTTACTACACTGAACAAAAATATGAACACAACATGTAAAGTGTTGGTCCCATGTTTCATGAGCTGAAATAAAAAGATCTCCGAAATTTTCCATACGCACAAAAATGTTATTTCTCAAACATTTTGTTAACAAATTTGTTAACATCCCTGTTAGTGAGCATTTCTCCTTTACCAAGATAATCCATCCACCTGACAGGTGTGGCATATCAAGAAACTGATTAAACAGCATGATCATTACACAGGTGCACCTTGTGCTGGGGACAATAAAAGGCCACTTTAAAATGTACAGTTTTGTCACAACACCATGCCACAGAAGTCTCAAGTTTTGATGGCAAGCTGACTGCAGGAATGTCCACCAGAGCTGTTGTCAGAGAATTTAATATTAATTTCTCTACCATAAGCCGCCTCCACCGTTGTTTTAGAGAATTTGGCAGTAAGTCCAACCGGCCTCACAACCGCAGACCACTTGTAACCATGTCAGCCCAGGACATCCACATCCGGCTTCTTTATCTGTGGGATCGTCTGGGGGGGGGGGGGGGGGGGGGGGGGGGGGGGGCTGAGGGGTATTTCGGTCTGTGATAAAGCCCTTTTGTGGGGAAAAACTAATTCTGATTGGCTGGGCCTGGCTGCCCAGTGGGTGGGTCTATGCCCTCCCAGGCCCACCCATGGCTGTACCCATGGCTGCACCCCTGCCCAGTCATGTGAAATCCATACATTAGGGCCTAATGAATTTATTTCAATTGATTGATTTCCTTATCTGAACTGTAACTCAGTAAAATCTATGAAATTGTTGCATGTTGCGTTTATATTTTTGTTCCCTCTCTCTCTCTATAAACTCAGCAAAAAAATAAATGTCCTCTCACTGTCAACTGCATTTATTTTCAGCAAACTTAACGTGTGTAAATATTTGTATGAACATAACAAGATTCAACAACAGACAAACTGAACAAGTTCCACAGACATGTGACTAACAGAAATTGAATAATGTGTCCCTGAACAAAAGTAACAGTCAGTATCTGGTGTGGCCACCAGCTGCATTAAGTACTGCAGTGCATCTCCTCCTCATGGACTGCACCATATTTGCCAGTTCTTGCTGTGAGATGTTACCCCACTCTTCCACCAAGGAACCTGCAAGTTCCCAGACATTTCTGGGGGGAATGGGCCTAGCACTCACCCTCCGATCCAACAGATCCCAGACGTGCTCAATGGGATTGAGATCCAGGCTCTTCGCTGGCCATGGCAGAACACTGACATTCCTATCTTGCAGGAAATCATGCACAGAACGAGCAGTATGGCTGGTAGCATTGTCATGCTGGAGGGTCATGTCAGGATGAGCCTGCAGGAAGGGTACCACATGAGGGATGAGGATGTCTTCCTTGTAACGCACAGCGTTGAGATTGCCTGCAATGACAACAAGCTCAGTCTGATGATGCTGTGACACACCGCCCCAGACCATGACGGACCCTCCACCTCCAAATCGATCCCGCTCCAGAGTACAGGCCTCGGTGTAACGCTTATTCCTTCAACGATAAACGTGAATCCGACCATGACCCCTGGTGAGACAAAACCGTGACTTGTCAGTGAAGAGCACTTTTTGCCAGTCCTGTCTAGTCCAGCGACGGTGGGTTTGTGCCCATAGGCGATGTTGTTGCCGGTGATGTCTGGTGAGGACCTGCCTTATAACAGGCCTACAAGCCCTCAGTCCAGCCTCTCTCAGCCTATTGCAGACAGTCTGAGCACTGATGGAGGGATTGTGCGGTTCTGGTGTAACTCGGCAGTTGTTGCCATCCTGTACCTGTCCCACAGGTGTGATGTTTGGATGTACCGGTCCTGTACAGGTGTTGTTACACGTGGTCTGCCACTGCGAGGACGATCAGCTGTCCGTCCTGTCTCCCTGTAGCGCCGTCTTAGGCGTCTCACAGTACGGACATTACAATTTATTGCCCTGGCCACATCTGCGGTCCTCATGCCTCCTTGCAGCATGCCTAAGGCACATTCACGCAGATGAGCAGGGACCCTGGGGATCTTTCTTTTGGTGTTTTTCAGAGTCAGTAGAAAGGCCTCTTTAGTGTCTTAAGTTTTCATAACTGTGACCTTAATTGCCTACCGTCTGTAAGCTGTTAGTGTCTTAACGACCATTCCACAGGTGCATGTCCATTAATTGTTTATGGTTCATTGAACAAGCATGGGAAACTGTGTATAAACCCTTTACAATGAAGATCTGTGAAGTTATTTGGATTTTTACAAATAATCTTTGAAAGACAGGGTCCTGAAAAAGGGACGTTTCTTTTTTTGCTGAGTTTTGTGTGTGTGTGTATTAATATATATATATATATATATATATATATATATATATATATATATATATATATATATATATATATATATATATATATATATTTACATTTTTAGTCATTTAGCAGACGCTCTTATCCAGAGAAAAGTTTGGGGTCACTTTTTGTTTTCCATGAAAACATACATGAAATGAGTTTGAATAGGAAATATAGCAAAATGAATAGGAAATGTAGTCATTGACAAAGTCACAAATAATGATTTTTAATTGAAATAATAATTGTGTCCTTCAAACTTTGCTTTCATCAAAGAATCCTTCATTTGCAGCAATTACAGCCTTGCAGACCTTTGGCATTCTAGTTGTCAATTTGTTGATGTAATCGGAAAAGATTTCACCCCATGCTTCCTGAAGCACCTCCCACAAATTGGATTGGCTTGATGGACACTTCTTACGTACCATACGGTGAAGCAGCTCCCACAACAGCTCAAATAGTTTGAGATCTGGTGACTGTGTTGAGATCCGGTGACTGTGCTGGCCACTCCATTATAGACAGAATACCAGCAGACTGCTTCTTCCCTAATTATTTCTTGCAGTTTGGAGCTGTGCTTTGGGTCATTGTCCTGTTGTAGAAGAAATTGGCTCCAATCAAGTGCCGTCCACAGGGTATGGCATGGCGTTGCAAAATGGAGTGATAGCCTTCCTTCTTCAAGATCCCTTTTACCCTGTACAAATCTCCCACTTTACCACCACCAAAGCACCCCCAGACCATCACATTGCCGCCACCATGCTTGACAGATGGCATCAAGCACTCCTCCAGCATCTTTTCATTTGGTCTGCGTCTCACAAATGTTCTTCTTTGTGATCCGAACACCTCAAATTTTGATTTGTCTGTCCATAACTTTTTTTATTTCCAATCTTCCTCTGTCCAGTGTGCGTTCTTTTGCCAATCTTCATCTTTTCTTTATATTGGCCAGTCTGAGATATGGCTTTTTCTTTGCAACTCTGCCTAGAAGGTCAGCATCCCAGAGTCGCCTCTTTACTGTTGACGTTGAGACTGGTGTTTTGCGGGTACTATTTAATGAAGCTGCCAGTTGAGGACCTGTGAGGCGTCTATCTCTCAAACTAGACACTAATGTATTTGTCCTCTTGCTCAGTTGTGCACCGGGGCCTCCCACTCTCTCTATTCTGGATAGAGCCAGTTTGCGCTGTTCTGTGAAGGGAGTAGTACACAGCGTTGTACGAGATCTTCCGTTTCTTGGCAATTTCTCACATGGAATAGCCTTCATTTCTCAGAACAAGACTAGACTGACGAGTTTCAGAAGAAAGTGCTTTGTTTCTGGCCATTTTGAGCCTGTAATCGAACACACAATTGCTGATGCTCCAGATACTCAACTAGTCTCAAGAAGGCCAGTTTTATTGCTTCTTTAAAATCAGCACAACAGTTTTCAGCTGTGCTAACATAATTGCAAAAGGGTTTTCTAATGATCAATAAGCCTTTTAAAATGATAAACTTGGATTAGCAAACACAACGCGCCATTGGAACAGAGGACTGATGGTTGCTGATAATGGGCCTATGTACACCTATGTAGATATTTCATAAAAAAACAGCTGTTTCCCTAAGCTATAATAGCCATTTACAACATGAACAAGGTATACAATGTATTTCTGATCAATTTGATGTTATTTTAATGGACAAAAAAATTGCTTTTCTTTCGAAAAAAAAAGACATTTCTAAGTGACCCCAAACTTTTGAACGGTAGCATATACAGTTGAAGTCGGAAGTTTACATACACTTAGGTTGGAGTCATTAAAACTCGTTCTTCAACCACTCCACAAATTTCTTGTTAACAAACTATAGTTTTGGCAAGTCGGTTAGGACATCTACTTTGTGCATGACAAGTAATTTTTCCAACAATTGTTTACAGACAGATTATTTCACTTATAATTCACTGTATCACAATTCCAGTGGGTCAGAAGTTTACATACACTAGGTTGACTGTACCTTTAAACAGCTTGGAAAATTCCAGAAAATGATGTCTGGCATTAGAAGCTTCTGATAGGCTAATTGACATTATCTGAGTCAATTGGAGGTGTACCTGTGGATGTATTTCAAGGTCTACCTTCAAACTCAGTGCCTCTTTACTTGACATCATGGGAAAATCTAAAGAAATCAGCCAAGACCTTAGAAAAGAAATTGTAGACCTCCACAAGTCTGGTTCATCCTTAGGAGCAATTTCCAAACGCCTGAAGGTACCACGTTCATCTGTACAAACAATAGTATGCAAGTATAAACACCATGGGACCACGCAGCCTTCATACCGCTCAGGAAGGAGACGCGTTCTGTCTCCTAGAGATGAACGTACTTTGGTGCGAAAAGTGCAAAATCAATCCCAGAACAACAGCAAAGGACCTTGTGAAGATGCTGGAGGGAACAGGTACAAAAGTATCTATATCCACAGCAAAACGAGTCCTATATCGACATAACCTGAAAGGCCGCTCAGCAAGGAAGAAGCCGCTGCTACAAAACCGCCATAAAAAAGCCAGACTACGGGGACAAAGATCGTACTTTTAGGAGAAATGTCCTCTGGTCTGATGAAACAAAAATAGAACTGTTTGGCCATAATGACCATTGTTATGTTTGGAGGAAAAAGGGAGTGCTTGCAAGACGAAGAACACCATCCCAACCGTGAAGCACGGGGGTAGCAGTATCATGCTGTGGGGGTGCTTTGCTGCAGGAGGGACTAGTGCACTTCACAAAATAGATGGCGGCAGGTAGCTTAGTGGGTAAGAGCGTTGTGCCAGTACCCGAAAGTTCGCTGGTTCTAATCCCCGAGCCGACTAGGTGACAAATCTGTCGATGTGCCCTTAAGGCACTTAACCCTAATTGCCCCTGTAAGTCGCTCTGGATAACAGCGTCTGCTAAATGACTAAAATGTAAATGTAATGCATCACGAGGAAGGAAATTTATGTGGATTTATTGAAGCAACATCTCAAGACATCAGTCAGGAAGTTAAAGCTTTGTCGCAAATGGGTCTTCCAAATGGACAATGACCCCAAGCATACTTCCAAAGTTGTGGCAAAATGGCCTAAGGACAACAAAGTCAAGGTATTGGAGTGGCCATCACAAAGCCCTGACTTCAATCCTATAGAAAATGTGTGGGCAGAAATGAAAAAGCGTGTGCGAGCAAGGAGGCCTACAAACCTGACTCAGTTACACTGAGGAGGAATGGGCCAAAATTCACCCAACTTATTGTGGGAAGCTTGTGGAAGGCTACCCGAAATGCTTGACCTAAGTTAAACAATTTAAAAGGCAATGCTACCAAATACTAATTGAGTGTATGTAAACTTCTGACCGACTGGGAATGTGATGAAATAAATAAAAGCTGAAATAAATCACTCTACTATTATTCTGACATTTCATATTCTTAAAATAAAGTGTTGATAATAACTGACCTAAAACAGGGAATTTTAACTAGGATTAAATGTCAGGAATTGTGAAAAACTGAGTTTAAATTTATTTGGCTTTATGTAAACTTACTACTTCAACTGTGTGTGTGTGTGTGTATATATATATATATATATATATATATATACACACACACACTGCTCAAAAAAATAAAGGGAACACTTAAACAACACAATGTAACTCCAAGTCAATCACACTTCTGTGAAATCAAACTGTCCACTTAGGAAGCAACACTGATTGACAATAAATGTCACATGCTGTTGTGCAAATGGAATAGACAACAGGTGGAAATTATAGGCAATTAGCAAGACACCCCCAATGAAGGACTGGTTTTGCAGGTGGTGACCACAGACCACTTCTCAGTTCCTATGCTTCCTGGCTGATGGTTTGGTCACTTTTGAATGCTGGCGGTGCTTTCACTCTAGTGGTAGCATGAGACGGAGTCTACAACCCACACAAGTGGCTCAGGTAGTGCAGCTCATCCAGGATGGCACATCAATGCGAGCTGTGGCAAGAAGGTTTGCTGTGTCTGTCAGCGTAGTGTCCAGAGCATGGAGGCGCTACCAGGAGACAGGCCAGTACATCAGGAGACGTGGAGGAGGCCGTAGGAGGGCAACAACCCAGCAGCAGGACCGCTACCTCCGCCTTTGTGCAAGGAGGAGCAGGAGGAGCACTGCCAGAGCCCTGCAAAATGACCTCCAGCAGGCCACAAATGTGCATGTGTCTGCTCAAACGGTCAGAAACAGACTCCATGAGGGTGGTATGAGGGCCCGACGTTCACAGGTGTGGGTTGTGATTACAGCCCAACACTGTGCAGGACGTTTGGCATTTGCCAGAGAACACCAAGATTGGCAAATTCGCCACTGGCGCCCTGTGCTCTTCACAGATGAAAGGAGGTTCACACTGAGCACATGTGACAGACGTGACAGAGTCTGGCGACGCCGTGGAGAACGTTCTGCTGCCTGCAACATCCTCCAGCATGACCGGTTTGGCGGTGGGTCAGTCATGGTGTGGGGTGGCATTTCTTTGGGGGGCCGCACAGCCCTCCATGTGCTCGCCAGAGGTAGTCTGACTGCCATTAGGTACCGAGATGAGATCCTCAGACCCCTTGTGAGACCATATGCTGGTGCGGATGGCCCTGGGTTCCTCCTAATGCAAGACAATGCTAGATCTCATGTGGCTGGAGTGTGTCAGTAGTTCCTGCAAGAGGAAGGCATTGATGCTTTGGACTGGCCCGCCCGTTCCCCAGACCTGAATCCAATTGAGCACATCTGGGACATCATGTCTCGCTCCATCCACCAACGCCACGTTGCACCACAGACTGTCCAGGAGTTGGCGGATGCTTTAGTCCAGGTCTGGGAGGAGATCCCTCAGGAGACCATCCGCCACCTCATCAGGAGCATGCCCAGGCCTTGTAGGGAGGTCATACAGGCACGTGGAGGCCACACACACTACTGAGCCTCATTTTGACTTGTTTTAAGGACATTACATCAAAGTTGGATCAGCCTGTAGTGTGGTTTTCCACTTTAATTTTGAGGGTGACTCCAAATCCAGCCCTCCATGGGTTGATAAATTTGATTTCCATTGATAATTTTTGTGTGATTTTGTTGTCAGCACATTCAACTATGTAAAGAAAAAAGTATTTAATAAGATTATTTCATTCATTCAGATCTAGGATGTGTTACTTTAGTGTTCCCTTAATTTATTTGAGCAGTATATATATATATATATATATATATATATATATATATATATATATATATATATATATTTTTTTTTTTATATATATTTTTTTTTATTATCAATTAGACAAGAGTCTGACTAAATGATAAATCCAATACTTTCACACAGGATTAATAATTGGGAGGACAGTTGGGAGAGGCCCTAAACTAAAAACACAGGACCTACACTGTCACAATACACAATGCCTAAACAGAGGGATGGACAGTTGAGTGAGGGACAGCGTCAAGGTACCTTTTGTGCCTCAGTAACTTGGACATACTGGTGAAAGACCAGCCACAGGCCTCTGAGTCGCAGACGAACGGCCTCTCGCCTGAAACCGAAAGGGAGACTTAGGCTAGGACTGAGAAACTACTACTGGTGAAAGAAACAAACAACCATAACATGGATTTTTGTCTCTTTTGATAATATCTATATCATATATTTCACTGTCAATGTTGACAGTTCTGTTAGTCACATTGGATCAACAAGAATCTGTGGTTGTTTTCATTTAGATTGTGTAAAGTGTTTAGCCAACTAACATAAAAAAACACAGGGACTACCATATATATATCTATTGATGTAGTATGGAACATTTTCAGGTGGATGCAACACATGACGCAAGTTCCCTCCTGACAATGTAAATGGCCCGGAGACCTCTTGAAAAGTTATATAAACATATATCCATCCTTATGACGTACCCGTGTGGCTGCGCATGTGGATCTTGATGCGGCAGGCCTTGTCGTAGCGCTTGTCGCAGCCCGGGTAGGTGCAGATGAACAGGCCCGTCTCGCGGAAGTGTGTGCGGTTGTGGGAGAACAGGGCACTGTAGGTGATGAAGCTCTTCTCACAGCCTGAGGTAAGAGACACACATAGGAAAAAAAGCGACTACTAAATCTTTGTGACAATGAAAGGCAAATGACAATAAGTATGAATAGTGAATACACACATGCATATAAAAAGTTCATTCTGTACATCTATTTATTCCGAAAGAATTGAGCATGGAAACGTGGTCAATGACCTATTATTTTCTACATTGTAGAATAGTGAAGACATCGAAACTATGAAATAACACATATGGAATCATGTAGTAACCAAAAGTGTTAAACAAATCAAAATATATTTGAGATTCTTCAAAGTAGCCACCCTTTGCCTTGATGACAGCTTAGTACACTCTTGGCATTCTCTCAACCAGCTTCATGAGGAATGCTTTTCCAACAGTCTTGAAGGAGTTCCCACATATGCTTAGCACTTGTTGGCTGCTTTTCCTTCACTCTGCGGTCCAACTCATCCCAAACCATCTCAATTGGGTTGAGGTCAGGTGATTGTGGAGGCCAGGTCATCTGATGCAGCACTCCATCACTCTCCTTCTTGGTAAAATAGCCCTTACACAGCCTGAAGGTGTGTTTTGGGTCATTGTCCTGTTGAAAAACAAATGATAGTCCCACTAAGCGCAAACCAGATGGGATGGCGTATCACTGCAGAATGCTGTGGTAGCCATGCTGGTTAAGTGTGCCTTGAATTCTAAATAAATCACTAACAGTGTCACCAGCAAAGCATCCCCACACCGTCACACCTCCTCCTCCATGCTTCACGGTGGGAACCACACATGCGGAGATCATCCGTTCACCTACTCTGCGTCTCACAAACACACGGTTGTTGGAACCAAAAATCTCAAATTTGGACTCATCAGACCAAAGGACAGATTTCCACCGGTCTAATGTCCATTGCTCGTGTTTCTTGGCCCAAGCAAGTCGCTTCTTATTGGTGTCCTTTAGTAGTGGTTTCTTTGCAGCAATTCGACCATGAAGGCCTGATTAACACAGTCTCCTCTGAACAGTTGACGTTGAAATGTGTCCGTTACTTGAACACTGTGAAGCATTTATTTGGGCTGCAATCTAAGGTGCAGTTAACTCTAATTAACTTATCCTCTGCAGCAGAGGTAAATCTGGGGTTTCCTTTCCTGTGGTGGTCCTCATGAGAGCCAGTTTCCTCATAGCGCTTGATGGTTTTTGCAACTGCACTTGAATAAACTTCCAAAGTTCTAGAAATGTTCCAGATTGACTGACCTTCATGTCTTAAAGTAATGATGGACTGTCGTTTCTCTTTGCTTATTTGAGCTGTTCTTGCCATAATATGGACTTGGTCTTTTACCAAATAGGGCTATCTTCTGTATACCATCCCTACCTTGTCACAACACAACTGATTGGCTCAAACGCATTAAGAAGGATCTCTGCATGTGTAGTTCCCACCATAAAGCATGGAGGAGGTGATGTTATGGTGTGGGGGTGCTTTGCTGGTGACACTGTCTGTGATTTATTTAGAATTCAAGGCACACTTAACCAGCATGGCTACCACAGCATTCTGCAGTGATACGCCATCCCATCTGGTTTTTCAACAGGACAATGACCCAACACACCTCCAGGCTGTGTAAGGGCTATTTTACCAAGAAGGAGAGTGATGGAGTGCTGCATCAGATGACCTGGCCTCCACAATCCCCCGACCTCAACCCAATTAAGCTGGTTTGGGATGAGTCGGACGGCAGAGTGAAGGAAAAGCAGCCAACAAGTGCTCAGCATATGTGGGAACTCCTTCAAGACTGTTGGAAAAGCATTCCAGGTGAAGCTGTTTGAGAGAATGCCAAGAGTGTGCAAAGCTGTCATCAAAGCAAAGGGTGGCTATTTGAAGAATCTCAAATATAAAATATATTTTTATTTGTTTAACACTTTTTTGGTTACTACATGATTCCATATGTGTTATTTCATAGTTTTGATGTCTTCACTATTATTCCACAATGTAGAAAATTGTAAAAATAAAGAAAAACACTTGAATGAGTTGGTGTGTCCAAACTTTTGACTGGTACTGTATGTATGTATACACACATATACATACTTTATTTATATTTTTTGATTATTCCACTTAGTACAGCCCCAAAATATTTTGTAAGTCAGTAGTCAATTTTTCAAGATAATGGACTTTCAACTGGAAAATCAGGAAAGAAACGAGGTCAGGTCAGAGCTCTAGAAAGCTGCCAGAGTTTCTGACTTGGAATTCTGAGTTGGATGACAGTTCAAAACTATTTTTTCAGAGTTCCCATTTGTCTTGAACACACTGAAGTCAACAATTTCAGAGTTCCCAGTTTTTTTTAACGCAGCAATAGCGTCACTTGCCACATCACCTTGATAATGCAAAATGAATCATCATGATGATGTGGCAAGTGACACTCTTGGTGCTTTCAAGTCAACTGGTAACTCTGAAAAAAACAAGGTCAAATCATGATGTCAGTGTTCAGTTCAGAAAGGCGGAGCTCTAGAAAGATGCCCGACTTCCCAACATTCCCAGCTCGTCTCCCCTATATCTAGAAAACTTGACCGCTGACATGCAAAACATTTTAGGACTGTATCAACAGTGAGTGGACTAATGAAACAAACACCAAAATAGTTTGAGTGGTATTTTCCATTAACACAAATAAACTAGTCAAATTCAACCACACTAAAAATACATTTGCCTCACCTGGAAACTCGCATTTGTGCGGCCTCTCTGGCTCAAAATGGGCCCGCTGGTGATTGGTCAGCCGGGTGGCGCTGCGGAAGCGCTCGCTGCAGATCTCGCACACAAAGGTGTTCTCCTGGTCATGCTGCTTCACATGCGCCTTCAGGTTGTAGACCGTGGTGAAACAGCGGCCGCATCCCTCCCACTCGCACTTGTGAGGCCGCACCTTGTCGTGGGACTGCAGGTGTCGTTTGAGCTTGTAAGAGGTGGTGAAGGCCCAGCCACAGCCCTCAAAAGGGCACTTAAAGGGCCTCTGGTCCTCGGTGTGGTTAAGAAGGTGCATCTTGAGCTTTTGGCGCGTTTCGAAGGTGCTGGGGCAGCCTGGCTGGGGGCAGCGGTATGTCGTGATCAAGGCACCTTTCTTGGAGAGTCCCGAAGCGCCGATGACACTGACAGGCTGGAAGTCGCCGTTGTCGTCACAGTCGACAGAAGAACCCTCTGGGCGCTGGGAAACCAAGTCACCTTCGCTTATGGCACACAGAGTCCCGCTCTCCTGCTTGATGACTGGGCACATGTCCAGAGAGGCACCCAACTCTGACAGTGAACAGTTGTCAGCTAGAGCCAGTTCGGAGTCGCTCACAGACAAACCCAGCCTAGACTGTTCGTGGTGACCTGCCCGAATAACCGCCACGTTGCTTATTTTCCCAATGGATTTGGTCCCGCTGTCATAGTTGAGAAGCACTATGTCCTCGTGGTCTTTCATTCCAAGGTGTTCCTTCAAGCCAACCATTCCGTCGTCTTTGTGGGTGTAACCCTCTGGAGGTGCAGCTAGAGTCAGTATCCCGTTTTCTATGGTAACTATGATGCTTTGGTTGTTTATCATGATGGTTCCAGAGAAGGTCTCGTTGGCAGACGCACTGTTGGGGGTCCCATCTGCATTGGCAGACACGGATAGGCTCCTACCAGCGTCGGAAATGAAGTCCATAGCGTCGCTCATTTCCACCATATCAGTGTTTTCTGAAATCAAGGCACTGCTATCTTGAGCTTCGGTCTGAGATGATATTTGGTTAGGCGCGTCACTGTCAATGTTTTCAATGCAAACTTGGTGGCCACATATGTTCTCGCCATATTCGTTTGTCAAAGCAGTGTTTTCATTCTCCGTTTCATAACACACAGACTGTTTCTCATTAGTTACAGTTGCCTCACTATTTGAACTGGAATTTAACAAACTACACAAATGAACAGTTCTTTTCAAGGCCTCTGCTGCTAAATTGTTCAAATTGTCATCAGATTCAATAAGAGCATTGGTGCTTTGAACCTCCATCGAATTACATGTTTTGATCTTGGAATGTTCAAGCTTCATCTTACCGCGTATCGTATCCCCATCTTTAGATGGATTTCCCAGTCTGTCCTTATCTGCGTCATTACCATCCTCTTGGACAATGTTGAAAACCACATAATATTCCTCGGTGTTTTTATTAGCGTTAGCGGTGCTGTTGCTCCCACAGGCCGCCGTGCCCTCGCTCGCCAATGACTGCAACAGGAAGGCGCCGTCTTCATGTTGCTGCCGTAAAACCGGAGGTTGCAGCTGCTGTTGCTGATATTGTTCCTCTTCCCCCGCAAAGAAAGGCAACGCCATTTGCAATATGTTATCCCCACTTTCAATATCGTATTTGTAACCAGTCCTAAAAATATCGTGTGGAGGTAGTTTTGCGTTCAGTTCCCTCGCTTTCAAAGTATTCTTGTCACGGAGTCCCACATTCGCTGTTTGGGTTTGAAGTGGGCTATTGTTTTTACCGTTCTGCTTGCAGACAGGCAGGCCAACGCTGCCATTTTCTGCCAGTAGGCGAAATGGAGATGTCCTTGGCCTATTGTGGTTGTTGTTGTCACTTTGCAGTTCGTACGATTCCAAATCCTCCTGTGCTTCGTTCTCGTTCGAAATGGAGAGAGAACATGCCCCTGTCGTTGTCCTAATCGGAGACGAACCTGTTCTACGTGGGGCGCCATGTTGATAGTGAATATTTTGGGCATGAGAAAGCCCCTGGATTTCCATCTTGGTATCCCTGTAGCAGCAGTGCATGAAAGGCCCGCCCTTCACACAAATGTGGAAGGAGATCCGGAAAGCCACTCCACAGTTTATCGTGAACCGTGGCCGAATTTCCCAAGAGGAGTAAACTGTGGAATAGATGTCAAACCATTGGAATGGAACTATTTGTATCTTACCAAGTTCAAAACCATATTCAAAAGCCATAATATGCCCTAATATATACTCGTTACATTCATGTTATTATCATTGTCATGAGTTTTTTCTGAAAGCAAAAGTAGTTTCTGCATTTTTAAATGTTTTTATTAATTACCAGTGATTGCGTTATTGAGGACCACTAGGTGCCACTATAAGCTCATTTCTGGCCAAACGATTCTACAGAAAGTTTAAACAATATTCAAAAATGTCAAAGGAGAACAAGACAATCTTAAAAATTAAACAAACATTTAGTGGTCTACTATGTTTGAATGGTAACTTCTATATTACTCAGCCCTACACATTCATTACTTTGAGGTCAACTGTGAATGCAACTCTTGATAGTCTAACTTTACAAAACATTAGGAACACCTGCTCTTTCCATGACATAGACTGACCAGGTGAATCCAGGTGAAAGTGATGATCCCTTATTGATGCTACCTGTTCAGTGTAGTTGAAGGAGAGGAGACAGGTTAAATAAGGATTTGTAAGCCTTGAGACATGGATAGTGTATGTGTGCCATTCAGAGGGAAGAAAGAAGACGAGTAGGCGGCCAGTACATTGCAATAAACTTTAGTGAACTATTAACAGAATATATACCAAACAAAAATATAAACGCAGAACTTTATTCAGCACCAACACACAGTCAATGACCTAAAGTGGGCTGCTAGAGGATAGTTCTCGTCCTTGCGTCTAATAGAGCTTTTGTGTTCTGTGATCCGTGTTCTTAGTGCGCGTGTGGTCTTCCCGATGTATAATATGGAGCACGGGCACTGGATAGCGTAGACTCAGGCTCTTCAGGTTGATGGGCTATTGGTTTTTGGATGGGGAAATTGTTTCCGTTTTTGTGATTGTGCGCAACAGGAACAGCTTGGCCGATAGGGAGTGGGAGGCCATCGATAGTGTTTTGTGTAGAGAGCAGGGACGGCTTGTTCAATAGGGCGATATGGGCGACGCACTGCCAAACGGGAAAAGGAAGGGATTTTTTTTCTAATCAATTATAAAAAATAAAATAAAAAAAAATATATATATATTTTTTTTATAAATTTATAAAAAATTATATCACGGCAACAGCAGTTATCAGTGTTCACGTCTGATCTGACAGCCACTAAATGTCAAATCAGGCTAAAGTCGTGCTTCAAATGGCCCCGCCCGTTTTTTGGGCGATTTCAGTCAGGTTGAAAATCGCCCAGAAGTCTCTCATAGCCTGTCATGTAAAATCTATTTTTTTCACATTTCAAAGCTTTCAATACATTCTCTATGGGTGTCTGTGGGCTTGCACTTACGCGCTTTCGTCATACATAACGTAACCACGAATGAACGTAACTAAGAAAAGACCAGGTAGCAGCCTCAATCAATTCACTACTACTATCAAAATGGGTAGGCTTCAGTCCAACTCGATTGTGTCTTTGAAAGAAGTTCTTTTTTGTCGGCGAACAAATTAAGATAAATTGGCAACGAAACAATTAGGACCTCCCAGACCAAATTTAATAATTCAACAGGTTTCTACTAAAGGCGGAAAGTCCTACACCCGAGGATTTTCCAAAAATTGGTACGAACGAAAAAAGACATTGCCACTCAACTGGATGACGAGGGATACAGGCTAGCTGTCCGCCGCCACAACGATGAGGTTAGTGTTGATAATCACAAGTTTACTGGATGTGGATATGGTGTAATAAAGGCAGTTTATTCAGAGGTAAATATATCTGGAATCGCGTTCACGGACCCGTTCGTCAAACTCTTAGGGAGCAATAAATTAAGCCCCATTACTTACCATATCAGATAAGAGAAATTGCTGCAGCTACATATATTTTACATCCTGGCCCTACATAGTTCACTATTTGCATCACTTACCAAAATATTACATGTGGTCATATATGCTTGGAAAGTGGAGATGCCATAGAACGTCAAAAAAGTAAACATTGCTGGAGACACATTGTCGTTTTGGAGAAGACATCGCGTTTGCTAGCGAAGAGATTTGTTGTGGCAAATGAACTTGGGCTGGGAATTGCCAGGAACCTCACGATAAGATATATGCATCAGCATTGCGAGTCTCATGATTCTATACGTATTGCGATTCGATACTGTGATTTTATTGCGCACCATATGTCTGTTGCAGAGGGATCAGAAAGCCATGAGAACGAGTTTTGATCAGTCATGGAAATAAAAGTGCTGAAAACTAATTGGCTCCCAATGTGAAAAGATTGAGAACAAGCTATGAAGGAACAATAATGGTGTTTTGGTGCAGGTACAGCCAACTAGCGCTAAAATATTGCGATATTGTCAATACAGTATATCGTAAAGTATCACTATGTAACTCGATTTCTTTCACCCCAATCCCTCAAATTAACGGTAAATAACTGAATTGTTTGCCCCACATTTAGCTAAGATGATTAGCTAGCCAGCTAAAATGTTTTATTTAGTTAGCAGTCGCATCTACAATAGTTTACTGTCAATAACATGTCTCCAAAAATGACGTGGTGTCTCCAATTGTGTTGACATTTTACAATTGCAATGCGCATCCATGAGTATCCACTTTCTGTAGCTCAGCTGGTAGAGCATGGTGCTTGTAACGCCAAGGTAGTGGGTTCGATCCCCGGGACCACCCATACACAAAAATGTATGCACGCATGACTGTAAGTCGCTTTGGATAAAAGCGTCTGCTAAATGGCATATTATTATTATTATTATTATTATCTGAAGAGAGCCCCGAAACATTGTGTGCAGACATTTTATGCAATAAATGAAGTAGGTTCAATCTAGTAGTTCTGATCTTCTGATTGGTCCTGATGAGTTGGGCGAGGTCACCTCCAGGCTACTGTCACTGTTGCATTGGCTCTGAGTCGGGTTCTCTGTCTTCAAATGTTCAGCCTAAGAGAGGGGATTTTTGTGTGTGTGTGTGTGTGTGTGTGTTTAACAGTGATGATGTGTGTGTGTGTGTGTGTTTAACAGTGATGATGTGTGTGTGTGTGTGTGTGTTTGTGTGTGTGTGTGTCCTCAGAGCAAGAACTCGTGAGTTGGAAGAACTGAGAGGCCTATGGCGTGGGTGTTGTCCTTGGCCACCTGCTGACAAGGCTGACAAGATAGGACCCTTTTGTCCATTGTTATTGGATAGGAACAGAACTTATAACCAGCTCCTGACCTAAATAGATCTTAGCACAACATTTTACTCAACATATCATATTCCATATTCACTATAACAAATATATTTACTACGACATTAGCAAGAACCGCCACATCCTCAGCCGGCTAATCCAGTGTGTGAAGTTTTGCGGAGTGTTTGAGTTAGCTTTGCGAGGCAAAGATGAAACTGAGGGCTCCACCAACCCTGGTAAGCCAACACTTTTGAGATCAGTCAATAAATGCTGCCAGTTTGTCTCTGACATTGGTGTTCCTTCTGAGAGCCACAAGGGGTTTATCAGTAAAATGGTCATGTAGTTGCAGGACGCGTCAATGTCTGTGTAGAACTCTACGTATTTTGTTGGCAATGGGGAAGTATTGGATACTGCAAACCAATCGGTCAGGCTGTTGCTTTTTTCGTGGTTGTAGCAGTATGTCTATGTGAATACAGTGGTCTCTTGTATGCTGTTTTATGACCTTTTGACTGTAGCCATTCAGAGGGTGAATGGGCAATGCAACGCTGCTGGGTTTTTCACGCTCAACTGTTTTCTATGTGTATCAAGAATGGTCCACCACCCAAAGCACATCCAGCCAACTTGACACAACTGTGGGAAGCATTGGAGTCAACATGGGCCAGCATCCCTGTGGAACGGTTTTGACACCTTGTAGAGTCCATGCCCCGACGAATTGAGGCTGTTCTGAGGGCAAAAGGGGGTGCAACTCAATATTAAGAAGGTGTTCCTAATGTTTTGTACACTCAGTCTATGGTCAGTTTGCACACTAATATACAAAAACATTTTAAGTGCTTGAAAGTGTTGGTCAACAAACGATCAGTAATGCCATTAATATATAATGCCCTTAAATGTGTTAATATAACTAGAAATAGTGTATTTTAGTCCATATTAAAGTTTCAGTATTACTAATTCACAATGAGGCAGAGAGCTTTCTCTAAGATTCACAGATTCCCATGTAGGCCAATTCAGCATAGACATAATAGCTACGGACAACAGTACAGGCAGACTTCCACCATGCAGAATAATAATGAATATGATGATTTGTTTTGGGGGAGTGAGATGCACTGTCCAGGTCACTGACCTTTCTTAAAGCATGCATTATTTTGTTAATTCCAAGAACAAACATCATCTGCCAACTTTTATACCACGATTAGTCTTAATAATATATCTTTATTTGATTTCTAAGCAAAATATTTATAAAACAAATGGACAAACTTACAAATAGGTTGTGACCAACACAAATGGACATGGAATGACATATATATACATTTATAGAATCATTATAGAAAGAAAATCTGGAGGAAGACTGATCACATAATATTCTGTACATGAACTCCGATATATTTACATTAGGTATACTTATAAGCAAAAGCTACACAGAACACAAAGCCAGACAGTCATGCTTTATGCAAAAATGTTCAACAGGTGATGTGAATTGAGGTTTACTTTTTGACTTTATAACACTGTTACACGCATGCACTAAAAACGTTGTCTGTTAGAAATCCATCTACTATTCAAATGTTCTATTATATTTTGGGGTTATTAAATTGGCAGTTCCTGTATACTATACAGTGTACAACAAAGAACATTGACAAAATTCAATAGACAATCCAGTCTCGTACAAAACCAACCAAGCACAGAACACTCGCCAAATAGGAACATTTTAGTCAATTTCAAATGTGAAGAACAGTTATTTTTGACGACCACAAACATCAGCAGTGTGTCGACTAATCAGCTTAGCATGCAAAATAATGCAATTATGACTTGCATTGAATCATATAAAAATAGAATCCTCCCTACACACACTTATGGGATTATGACAGAAATAAGGCCACATATCCATTTCTCTTTGTAAGTCCTAAGACAACCCTTCATACTACTGTCCATCTTATTCTATAGCCAGTGTTTGACTTGGACTGAAATAGGTTCCGGTACTCATTTTGGGTGCCTGTACTGTTTACAATTAGAGGCAGGAGCTCCACAATACTTTTGAGCTAATGTTTTATAAGAGTAACAGGAGCTCAAGCAGTAGAACATTTTATGTGCCGGTACTCAGCTCCGGTGAGCTGCTGTCTAAGTCCAGCACTGGTATTAGCTCTAGTTGACCTGCTGTCACAATGCCCCAAATGCTTTATCATTTCCCAAAAGTTTGGTCTCATAGCACTTCTCCTTAAGTGCTGTGTGAAAATGGAACGATGACATTTGGCACCGACAACTATTGTTATGCAATTTACTTACAGAGAAATACTTTTTTTGCAAGAGAAGCCATGTCCGTTTTTGGCACGGTCAAAAATGTTATGGTGATCTTTTTAGTAGTAGTAAACTACCACTATGTATGAGAGAGTGAATGAATGAAGAGAGAGATGGGAAGAAAGGTGTGTGTGTGCAGTGTATGAGAGAGAGAGAGAGAGAGCGAGAGAAAGAAAGAAAGAGAGAGAAAGAGAGAGAGTGAGAGAGAGAGTGAAAGAGTGTGAGAGAGAGAGAGCGAGAGAGAGAAAGAAAGATTTAGAGAGAGAGAGCGAGAGAAAGAGAGAGAGAGAAAGAAAGAGAAAGAGCGAGAAAGAGAGAGAGAGAAAGAGAGAGAAATCAAACAAATCACAATAGAGGCTTGAATGTGAAAAAAAAGCTTTGTGTTTGAATGATCCCTTCTAGCCAGGCATTTCTCAAAGAACAAAGGCATAATAAAAAGACTAGTACAAAAAAAGAATGCATTACATGCATTGTAAATAAACTTGTGTAGAGCCTATGAGCCCAGCCAAAACATCAATGAACATATAGACCCATATCTCAGAAACCAGAGCTGTGGCGGAAAGAAACCATGCATACATTTGCAATGTAAAGCAGCCCATTTCAACTCCCTCAAAACAGGTTGTGGCGAGGGACCGCACTTTTGAGAACAACCTATGCTGAGGCACACTCTCTTACTCTCCTCTTTCTAGCAAAAATGGATGGTCATGGTGACCCTGAAGTGTTGATGCGTTCTTTACTACATCTAAGCACTTTTGTTCAGCGAGCGCATGCCGAAACTTTCTCATTCTAAACAGGAGCACGCTCCACAGAGTTTGAAAGACGGAGCAGGTTTTGCCACCATTGACTGACCACTTCATAAATGATTCATTTTTTAATCGCTGGGCAAAAGCTAGAAAAATATACAATTTGGAAGGAGGAAATCAAGGACAAGTTTTAAAAATAGCTGACTCGGTACTGTACTAATATCATAATAATAATTTGGTGGGTGATTATATTTGTCCTATTTTATGCATGTTTATTATACGCATATGTGAATTGGAAATGTGCTTTTTGCATATCCCAACTCCCCCTGAGACACCCTCGGAGAGTGGGGTCATGGCAAGGTATATTCAGACCAATGTTTGGGCCAGAAATAACCTGTGCAGTGACGTCAAGCTATGCTCCATCTCAAGCCAATTTCGATTTTACGACCCTTCATTTTGAAGATGAAGGCTTTTCTCTCAACAGGAGTACGCAATTGCCAGCTAGCAGGCCCTTATGACAAAAGTTATTTCAATATTTACACATTCTGTATCTGAATTTATTTTCTGATCTGAAATATAGCGCTTTTCACAGGCCATCCTATTAAACATATACATTTCAACACTTGGAATATATCAGGAATATATAGAACATATTTTTGAAGAGGTAACATTCAACTACCTATATACATATAGTGTGGACTGGCATAGCACAATATATTCACTATTCAATCAACCCCTGGGCAAGACGAACCAGTCCTTGCACAACGAATGATGAGAAGATATATGAACACAAGGACTCCAGTGGCCGAGGCTGAGACTACAACCATCTATACGCCATATTGTTTCTGTCTCCCTCGTTTTGAGAAACTCAACCAAAAGCCTCCAGAAATGCCCTGAGTAGACACCAAACATGAAGATACTTTGTGTCTTTCACTTGTTTTGGATATTAACCGACTTTCTGCAATGTTTATAGTGTCATTATACACATGGAAAATATACATTAGCCAGAGAGTGGTCAAAGTAGAGTAGTGCCATTGCAACCCAAGTGGCCAGTTTGTTGCTGTTTCTGTTTCGGACCACAACAAGACGCAAGGATGAAACACTCATTGCATGCAGAACTAGTGAGGCATAGGAAAAAAGGTGAACATCGATCTCTCTTTATATCCGCCGAAAAGTCCACAAACTCTTGCTTTTTCTGACTTTTAACTGCGACCGATCCCTGACCCCTTCATTAAGAAAGAAGCTAAGGGGTCGGTAAGGGGTTGGTGACTGCAGAGGAAGTTCCAACAGTTCTCAGCTCCAAAGGTCACGCTGCATTTGACCCCTGTTGAGCTGTTGAGTCGTTCCATCACAGCAGGGCGCTGTGTCCGCCAGGCAGGACATCGCTATGGCAGGGAGATAAAAGAAGAATCAGGAAAACAGCTGACTTCAACATGGAAGGAGGGGTAGTGAAAAAGCTTTCAGTGCTGTTGCAGTCTACCCCTCTGACTAGGACAGCAACTGCCTGTGTGTGTGTGTGTGTGTGTGTGTGTTCATGTGCACTTCAGGTATTCGCTGCAACTGAAAATAGTCCAAACCATGGCCCTATGGCCCTAGACCTAAGACCCCCCGACCTCTGACCCCACCCCACCCAAACCCCGCTCTCAGATGCACAGGTTGTTGAGTCCTATAGGGGCAGTAGTGGTGGTGGAGGTGCTGGAGGTGGTAGTGGTGGTGGAGGAGGCGGGCAGGGCAGGCTGGGGCTCGATGTCCCTCGTTTTCATGAAACCCAGCAGCTGCTCAGGGATCTCTGCCAACACGTCCTTGGCCAGCCGTGCCATGCTCAGCACCTGGTTGCCCTGGCGGTCAATGTAGTCCCGGAACGGCACAAACTGGACTATGTCTCGCTCAGCAATGCGCCCCTTAGAGGACACTCTGACCTCGTCACCGTCCAGTTCCTCCATTGCTACGGAACAGAAACAGAGACAGAGGTAGAGACATGGGGCACAGGCAGAGTCAGAGAGAGAGCCAGAGAGTCAGAGACAGAGAGAGTCAGAAACAGAGAGCGAGAGAGTGTCAGAGAGAGTCAGAGACAAAGAGAGTCAGAGTCAGACACAGCGAGAGAGAGAGACAGACAGAGTCAGAGACGGAGAGAATCAGAGAGAAAGACAGACAGAGTCAGAGAGAGGCAGAGGCAGAGAGAGATAGTCAGAGTCAGAGAGAGAGAGAGTCAGAGACAGAGTCAGAAACAGAGAGAGTCAGAGTCAGAAACAGAGCGAGAGAGACAGAGTCAGAGAGAAAGACAAAGACAGACAGAGACAGAGAGAGGCAGAGGCCGAGAGAGTCAGAGACAGAGAGTCAGAGAGTCAGAGAGAGAGTCAGAAAGCGAAAGTGAGAGCGAGAGAGTCAGTCAGAGAGAGTCGGAGACAGAGAGAGAGAGAGTTAGAGACAGAGGCAGAGGTAGAGAAATGGGACAGCAGTAGGAACAGAGATGGAGTCAGAGTTAGAGACAGAGTCAGACAGAGATAACGGCACATAGATCCATTGTTAGACAGAATGTTATATGTGCTATTAATGTGTGCTGGATTTGTGGTAAATATGGTACCCTATGCCACTTTGTTTGCCAAAAACTCAACTAATCAAATAATATTGGGGTAAGGACATAATCCTCTACATAACCCACGCAAAAACATATAAAAAAAATAATCCTCAAACTTCCACCGAACATTATTAGGACTGATTTTAAAGTCCCCTGCAGTCTTTTTATTACATTAAAAAAAAATCATCACTGCATGTCTAATAAATCACTGTGTGTGTTTATTTAATGAAAATAACTCCAAAATATATTTTTTTATAATTTATTTCCCTGAGCCTCCTTTGGCCCTTGAAATTCTCAGTCTGACCATATGGGCGTTAAGAAACAAATTTGAAGATATTTACATACACAGCCCTGATTGGCTGATAGGATGGTCTAGAGCCCACCCCCTTACCCAGATGAACGGTCATTGGTTTATTACAATCAGATCAGATTGTGACGTCATGATCTGGGCCAAAAACTCAATCTCTAACACAAAAAGGGCATTATCATAATATTCCCAATTTCAGAGTGTTATGGAAATATTTTTTTTCTTTTTCTCAACAGGACAATCACGTTTTTAACTGCACTACCCCTTTAATAATCTACGGCATCCATATTAGAAAGTGTGAGAACGTAGAACTTCCTAATATGGATGCCGTAAAATTCTAATAGACTACACCCCTATAACTCAACTCTGGACTTCAAAGTCAGTTCCACTGCATTTTTTCATTGTTCCCCTCTAATAAGGGACTGATTTAGACCTCAGGTCTGTGCAATTAATTATCAGGTAGAACAGAAAGCCAGCAGGCTCCGGACCTTGTAGGGTAAGAGTTTAATAACCCTGGACTACACCATTGATACTAATATCTGTTTTGGTGTTGAGGAGCTGTGGGTCCATCTGGTCTGGTCTGGTGTAGTGGAGTGAAGAGGAACTGGGAAGCAGATGCCTGGCCATGCATGTGGGACTATACAGTAGGGTTCACACTGAGGTCTTGAGCACGCCTCAGCCACGGGCAGCATCCCATGGACCACTGATGGACAACTGATCTGCAAAGCACTGGATAAGTGAAGGCAAAGGGCTGGTGACCTGCTTTCACCCATCAGTGGTCATGAAGGAAAGGGAGCCAGTTATACCTATTGGGACGAGATCATGCGGCATGTTTGGAGAGGACTGACTGGGGATATTATAGATGGCACTACAGAGCTGACAGATGGCTGTAGGCAGGGTATAGCAGTGCAGAAGAAGAGAGAGGGGGTGACGGGACAGCAGGAGAACAGGGAAGGGGGCCAGGTGTCTTGGGTAAACCCAGGCATTTGGGGGGCATCCCCTGACTCACAGGGACTTATACAGAGCCACCTGCTCCCTTGAGTGTCACACACATGCATGCATACACACACATACACACACACACAAACACACGCATGCATGCACGCACACACACACCTTCTGTTTCCCATGAATTTCCCACCCATGCATGTGTGTGTGTGTATGTGTGTGTGTGTGTGTGTGTGTGTATGTGTGCATGTGTGTGTGTGTGTGTGTGTGTACACATACAGGCACAGGGGTGCTTAGTACACACTGATGATGCACACTCGTTCACCCCACACACATATACACACAAACACCCCCTGACACATGAAGGCATCCAAACAGATGCCCACATGTAAACTTCATGGGAACATGTGGGATATTTGGCGAGAGGAATGGCATGATGGAAAGATTTGCAGAGAGAGAGAATATGAGAGGAGAGGATGGGAATAGCAGAAGAGAGTGTCACACCCTGATCTGTTTCACCGGTCTTGTGCTTGTCTCCACCCCCCTCCAGGTGTCGCCCATTTTCCCCATTATCCCCTGTGCATATATACCTGTGTTTTCTGTTTGTCTGTTGCCAGTTCGTCTTGTCTCGTCAAGCCTACCAGCGGTTTTCCCGTACTCCTGTTTTTGCTCTAGTCCCTGTTTTCTAGTTTTCCCAGTTTTGACCATTCTACCTGCCCTGACCCTGAGCCTGCCTGCCGTTCTGTACCTTGTGACACTGCCCTCGATTACTGACCTCTGCCTGACCCTGGCCTGTTGCTTGCCTGCCCCTGTTGTTGTAATAAACTTTTGTTACTTCAAACTGTCTGCATCCCGGTCTTATCCTGAGGTCTGATAGAGAGAGGAGAGAAGATTGGAATAGCAGAAGAGAGAGGAGAGAAGATGCTGCTTAAAGGTCCAATGGAGCCGTTTTTATCTCAATATCAAATAATGTCTGTGAAACATTTAAGTACCTTACTGTAATTATTTTTATTTAAAATAGTAAAAAAGAAATGAAAATAGCTTCTTAGCAAAGATACTTTTCTCAAGCAAGAATTTAGCTAGGACTGTTTGGGAATTTTCTGAGCGTGGAGGGGAAAACTGAAAACGATCTGCTATTGGCAGCTGGGTTTGGAACTCTCTTTCTTATTGGTCAATTAACTAATTTACTGCCTGGTGATGTCACCAGTCAGGCCAAAACTCCATCTCACCAAAACAGGCTGAAATTTCAGGCAGTCATTTCAAACAGCTCTTACACTAAAAGGGCATTATCATCATTTTCACAATTTCACAGTATTATTCCAACCTCATAGTGTGGAGATATATATAAAAAACAGGGAAATCATGTTTTTGACTGCACTGGGCCTTTAAGGGTCGCACTCAAATGTGTGTGTGTGTGTGTGTGTGTGTGTGTGTGTGTGAGAGAGACAATCTGTTTGCACAGGCTCCCTGTGGAGAGAGAGACTGAGCTAAAGGAGGATACGACAGCGTAGATGAATCAAATAACCCTCTTCCTATAGACCATTTAAAGTTAAAGTTATGCCGATTCCCCAACCACCACACACTCTGAAGCAAGCAGTCAACCCATCACACAACAATACTCTAGCGGTTTAATTTATATGCTTTTAAATACACATTCCCTCTTTATCTCTCTTAATAGATTTATCTCTTTATCTCTCTTCTATTATCTCTTATCTCTCTCTTTCTTTCTCTCTCTCTCCCTTCTCCGTCTCTCTCTCACACACACACACACACACACACACACACACACACACACACACACACACACACACACACACACACACACACACACACACACACACACACACACACACACACACACACACATCCTCCGGCAGCCACCCCTGACCCCTCGCACAGCCCTGTGTAGTGTGTAATAGGTCCCACAGAGACCCCCCTTGTCGTTAAGCATGAATAATTTCCCCTCTCCGTTTCCCTTCCCCAACTACCGACAGTATTTAAAAATATTATCAAATCACTTAGCCAATTATCTTTTGGAATAGGCATAATAAGTGTGGTCCATAATTATGTATTTTATTTAATTGTCTGCATCACTTCCAATCCTCCATATATTTTTTGCAAATAGATATACACACATATACAGTGGGGGAAAAAAGTATTTAGTCAGCCACCAATTGTGCAAGTTCTCCCACTTAAAAAGATGAGAGAGGCCTGTAATTTTCATCATAGGTACACGTCAACTATGACAGACAAATTGAGATTTTTTTTCTCCAGAAAATCACATTGTAGGATTTCTAATGAATTTATTTGCAAATTATGGTGGAAAATAAGTATTTGGTCACCTACAAACAAGCAAGATTTCTGGCTCTCACAGACCTGTAAGTTCTTCTTTAAGAGGCTCCTCTGTCCTCCACTCGTTACCTGTATTAATGGCACCTGTTTGAACTTGTTATCAGTATAAAAGACACCTGTCCACAACCTCAAACAGTCACACTCCAAACTCCACTATGGCCAAGACCAAAGAGCTGTCAAAGGACACCAGAAACAAAATTGTAGACCTGCACCAGGCTGGGAAGACTGAATCTGCAATAGGTAAGCAGCTTGGTTTGAAGAAATCAACTGTGGGAGCAATTATTAGGAAATGGAAGACATACAAGACCACTGATAATCTCCCTCGATCTGGGGCTCCACGCAAGATCTCACCCCGTGGGGTCAAAATGATCACAAGAACGGTGAGCAAAAATCCCAGAACCACACGGGGTGACCTAGTGAATGACCTGCAGAGAGCTGGGACCAAAGTAACAAAGCCTACCATCAGTAACACACTACGCCGCCAGGGACTCAAATCCTGCAGTGCCAGACGTGTCCCCCTGCTTAAGCCAGTACATGTCCAGGCCCGTCTGAAGTTTGCTAGAGTGCATTTGGATGATCCAGAAGAGGATTGGGAGAATGTCATATGGTCAGATGAAACCAAAATAGAACTTTTTGGTAAAAACTCAACTCGTCGTGTTTGGAGGACAAAGAATGCTGAGTTGCATCCAAAGAATACCATACCTACTGTGAAGCATGGGGGTGGAAACATCATGCTTTGGGGCTGTTTTTCTGCAAAGGGACCAGGACGACTGATCCGTGTAAAGGAAAGAATGAATGGGGCCATGTATTGTGAGATTTTGAGTGAAAACCTCCTTCCATCAGCAAGGGCATTGAAGATGAAACGTGGCTGGGTCTTTCAGCATGACAATGATCCCAAACACACCGCCCGGGCAACGAAGGAGTGGCTTCGTAAGAAGCATTTCAAGGTCCTGGAGTGGCCTAGCCAGTCTCCAGATCTCAACCCCATAGAAAATCTTTGGAGGGAGTTGAAAGTCCGTGTTGCCCAGCGACAGCCCCAAAACATCACTGCTCTAGAGGAGATCTGCATGGAGGAATGGGCCAAAATACCAGCAACAGTGTGTGAAAACCTTGTGAAGACTTACAGAAAACGTTTGACCTGTGTCATTGCCAACAAAGGGTATATAACAAAGTATTGAGAAACTTTTGTTATTGACCAAATACTTATTTTCCACCATAATTTGCAAATAAATTGATAAAAAATCCTACAATGTGATTTTCTCCTTTTGTCTGTCATAGTTGACGTGTACCTATGATGAAAATTACAGGCCTCTCTCATCTTTTTAAGTGGGAGAACTTGCACAATTGGTGGCTGACTAAATACTTTTCCCCCCCACTGTACATACACATATAAATACATTCATATACACATACACTACCTGTCAAAAGTCTTAGAACACCTAGTCATTCAAGGGTTTTTCTTCATTTTTCTTCATTCTTCATTCTACATTGTAGAATAATAGTGAAGACATCAAAACTATGAAATAACACATATGGAATCATGTAGTTACCAATATATTTCATATTTGAGATTCTTAAAAGTAGCCACCCTTTGCCTTGATGACAGCTTTGCACACTCTTGGCATTCTCTCAACCAGCTTCACCTGGAATGCTTTTCCAATAGTCTTGAAGGAGTTCCTACATATGCTGAGCACTTGTTGGCTGCTTTTCCTTCACTCTGCAGTCCGACTCATCCCAAACCATCTCAATTTGGTTGAGGTCGGGGGATTGTGGAGGCCAGGTCATCTGATGCAGCTCTCCATCACTCTCCTTCTTGGAAAAATAGCCCTTGTCCATTGCTTGTGTTTCTTGGCCCAAGCAATTCTCTTCTTCTTATTGGTGTCCTTTAGTAGTGGTTTCTTTGCAGCAATTCAACCATAATATAATAATATGCCATTTAGCAGACGCTTTTATCCAAAGCGACTTACAGTCATGCGTGCATACATTTTTTTTTTTTGTGTATGGGTGGTCCCGGGGTTCGAACCCACTACCTTGGCGTTACAAGCGCCGTGCTCAACCATGAAGGCCTGATTCACACAGTCTCCTCTGAACAGTTGATGTTGAGATGTGTTTGTTACTTGAACTCTGTGAAGCATTTATTTGGGCTGCAATTTATGAGGCTGGTAACTCTAATGAACTTATCCTCTGCAGCAGAGGTAACTCTGGGTCTTCCATTCCTGTGGCGGTCCTCATGAGAGCCAGTTTCATCATAGCGCTTGATGGTGTTTGCGACTGCACTTGAAGAAACTTTCAAAGTTCTTGAAATGTTCTGTATTGACTGACCTTCATGTCTTAAAGTAATGATGGACTGTCGTTTCTCTTTGCTTATTTGAGATGTTCTTGCCATAATATGGACTTGGTCTTTTACCAAATAGGGCTATCTTCTGTATACCCCCCATACCTTGTCACAACACAACTGACTGGCTCAAACGCATTAAGAAGGAAAGAAATTCCACAAATTAACTTTTGAGAAGGCACACCTGTTAATTGAAAGGCATTCCAGGTGACTACCTCATGAAGCTGGTTGAGAGAATGCCAAGAGTGTGCAAAGCTGTCATCAAGGCAAAGGGTGGCTATTTGAAGAATCTCAAATATAAAATATATTTTGATTTGTTTAACACTTTTTTGGTTACTACATGATTCCATATGTGTTATTTCATAGTTTTGATGTCTTCACCATTGAAAAACCCTTGAATGAGTAGGTGTTCTAAAACCTTTTACCGGTAGTGTACATACATACATATAAATACAAATACATACACTACCGTTCAAAAGTTTGGGGTCACTTTTCCATGAAAACATACATGAAATTAGTTTGAATAGGAAATATAGCAAAATCCATAGGAAATGTAGTCATTGACAAGGTTATAATGATTTAATTAATTGAAATAATGATTGTGTCCTTCAAACTTTGCTTTCGTCAAAGAATCCTCCATTTGCAGCAATTACAGCCTTGCAGACCTTTGGCATTCTAGTTGTCAATTTGTTGAGGTAATCTGAAGAGATTTCACCCCATGCTTCCTGAAGCACCTCCCACAAGTTGGACTGGCTTGATGGGCACTTCTTACGTATGATACGGTCAAGCTGCTCCCACAATAGCTCAATAGGGTTGAGATTCGGTGACTGTGCTGGCCACTCCATTATAGACAGAATACCAGCAGACTGCTTCTTCCCTAATTATTTATTGCATAGTTTGGAGCTGTGCTTTGGGTCATTGTCCTGTTGTAGGAGGAAATTGTCTCCAATCAAGCACCATCCACAGGGTATGGCATGGCGTTGCAAAATGGAGTGATAGCCTTCCTTCTTCAAGATCCCTTTTACCCTGTACAAATCTCCCACTTTACCACCACTTTACCACCCCCAGACCATCACATTGCCTCCACCATGCTTGACAGATGGCATCAAGCACTCCTCCAGCATCTTTTCATTTGGTCTGCGTCTCAGAAATGTTCTTCTTTGTGATCCGAATACCTCAAACTTCGATTTTGTCTGTCCATAACACTTTTTTCCAATCTTCCTCTGTCCAGTGTCTGTGTTCTTTTGCCCATCTTAATCTTTTATTTTTATTGGCCAGTCTGAGATATCGCTTTTTCTTTGCAACTCTGCCTAGAAGGTCAACATCCCGGAGTCGCCTCTTCACTGTTGACGTTGAGACTGGTGTTTTGCGGGTACTATTTAATGAAGCTGCCAGTTGAGGACCTGTGAGGCGTCTGTTTCTTGCTCAGTTGTGCACCGGGGCCTTCCACTCCTCTTTCTATTCTGGTTAGAGCCAGTTTGCACTGTTCTGTGAAGGGAGTAGTACACAGCATTGTACGAGATCTTCAACTTCTCGCATGGAATAGCCTTCATTTCTCAGAACAAGTATAGACTGACGAGTTTCAGAAGAAAGTTATTTGTTTCTGGCCATTTTGAGCCTGTAATCAAACCCACAATTGCTGATGCTCCAGAAACTCAACTAGTCTCAAGAAGGCCAGTTGTATTGCTTCTTTAATCAGCACTACAGTTTTCAGCTGTGCTAACATAATTGCAAAAGGGTTTTCTAATGATCAATTAGCCTTTTAAAATGATAAACTTGGATTAGCAAACACAATGTGCCATTGGAACACAGGACTGATGGTTGCTGATAATGGGCCTCTGTACGCCTATGTAGATATTCCATTAAAAATCAGCAGTTTCCAGCTACAATAGCCATTTACAACATTAACAATGTCTACACTGTATTTCTGATCAATTTGATGTACAAACACCTTGGGTGTGTAGGCTTTTGTTCCACCCCTACTATAAGACTCAAGCTGCTCGTCAGGATCAAATCAGTTGTGTTAGAAGAGTAGGACAGGGCCAGAGCAAAAGCCTAGCTCTCCAGGAGGAGGAATGGGCATCCTCGCTGTAGCTCTCCAGGAGGACGAATGGGCATCCTTGCTTTAGCTCTCCAGGAGGAGGAATGGGCATCCTCGCTGTAGCTCTGCAGGAGGAGGGTTGGGCATCCTCGCTGTAGCTCTGCAGGAGGAGGGTTGGGCATCCTCGCTGTAGCTCTCCAGGAGGAGGAATGGGCATCCTTGCTTTAGCTCTCCAGGAGGAGGAATGGGCATCCTCGCTGTAGCTCTGCAGGAGGAGGGTTGGGCATCCTCGCTGTAGCTCTGCAGGAGGAGGGTTGGGCATCCTCGCTGTAGCTCTCCAGGAGGAGGGATGGGCATCCTCGCTGTAGCTCTGCAGGAGGAGGGTTGGGCATCCTCGCTGTAGCTCTGCAGGAGGAGGGATGGGCATCCTCGCTGTAGCTTTAAGGCAGGGGGAGATACATTTGGAAGAGATGGAGAGCGGGGAGGGGATTCACCAGTTCCTAAAGCCTTTGGGAAGGAGATTGCAGTAAGTGTTGTTTTGTCACCTACCCTGCTGATCTTTAGTGCACTTCACAGGCAGTGGAACCTCTGATCAGAAGCTGTGTGCTTTGAACTTTAAAAGGCTTTAATGTTTTTTTTGGCAGTGTAGCTAGCTAACCACTTTGGGCGTGCGCACACACACATGCACGCATGCCGGATGTTCATGAGCACACGCACACACTTACCCACACACACACACACACTTACCGTCAAACTCAGCAGGGCCTACTCCCACTATGATGATAGACATGGGCAGAGCGGCAGCCTGTGAGAAAGGGGATAACACAAAGGTGATGTGTGAGGTATACATGCGCCCACCCACACACCCACACATTAACCCACCCACCCACCCACCCACACTCACACACACCCACCAATACACATCCATCCACCCACCCACACACACACCCACCCACACCCACCCACCCACACTCACACACACACATCCACACACACACACACACACACACACACACACACAGAAAATGACTTCATTATGACGTCCCATGCCACATTTTGGGACACACGCTTATGGACCACCGATGTCATCATCACGCCTAAATACGTACACACCACACATGGAAACACACACACAAGCATGATGAGCACTCACATTGACCACAGCCTCCTTGGTCTGCACCATGTCTGAGATGACTCCGTCTGTGATCATCAACAGCACAAAGTACTGGGATCCGTCCGTCACATCCTCAGCACACCTGCATAGAGCAACATACCACTGGTTGAAACTCAGCGTGTGTGTATATGTGTATGTGTGTGTGTGTGTGTGTGTGTGTGTGTAGTGGGAGACTTTCTTCTGTCTTCTGGTTTTCTGTAGTAATATAGCATTACACAACTATTTGAATACCGTTACACTAAACTGTGCTCCATTGTCAGACATTATGTTGTCTAGCTCTCACAGTCTCACGTCAGAATTAGACGTTCATCCATGTTTCTCAAACGTCAGATTTCGAAGTTGTTCCAAACGTCCAATTTCGAAGTGTTTAAGGTTAAGTTTAGGCATTAACTCCGAATTCTTAAGGTAAGGGCATTGACTCTGAATTCTTCAGGTAAGGGCATTAACTCTGAATTCTTCAGGTAAAACAAAAATATCAAAAATAACTTTCAAACATGCAACCTTTGGAATCAGAGGCAGATGCTTATGCTCATCCAGAACGCCCTAGCAACAAAAAAAAAACTACTTGAAGGTAACAATGATCACTGTTGCCCCTAGTGGCCGGTTTCTACGTCATCTCCCAACGTCCTCTGACGTCGAATACTGACTTGTATTACGGGTGACTTGCCTGGCCTAGACTGTTGACATAAAAGTGTTGTGTTGTCTAGACTGTTGATATAGAAGTGTTGTGTTGTCTAGACAGTTGATATAGAAATGTTGTGTTGTCGAGAATGTTCACATACTGTAAAACTTCAAATAAACTAAGAATCTCAAATAGCCGCCTGTCCCTTTTAAAAGCTGGGCATCAGCGCACATTTCAGCAAGTAAACTTTTGTTTCTAATAAACGGCGGGTCTAAATAAATTGTAAAGATTGCGCAAAAGAAGAAAAAGAAGAGCAACATCATGGATGAGACAGCAGTCTGGTTTGACATGGTCCAACAATGAATACTGAAGTCTATCTGCTGTGATATCGCTGCAACTACCGGGATACAAGGCACAATAGAGTATCACAGTATGATTCGTAATACCCATTTGTTATTATTTCCCTGTTTGATCGCTAGGTGTTATGGGTATTATGACATCGCCACTGTGGGGCTCTATGAGTGGGAGAATGGTGCTGAAGTGCAAAATCAGTGGGTGTATGATCGCAAGCCTACTGTATTCTTTACAAGTCTGATCTGTGATGGATGTGTTATTATAATGTTTATACTGGTCATACTGGTCACAATAAACAGTGTGGTCGTCTTTTCAACAATTGATTAAGCAAAAGCTGTGTGCATTAAGGAAACAGACGCCTGGCTCAGATAGAAGGCTGTCTCTAATAAGCAACGGTTATGTTCAGTAATTGAAGCAAATAAGGGCCCGGGCTTTTATTTGACGTTTTACGGTAAAAGTGTTGCATTGTCGAGACTGTTGTTATAGAAGTGTTGCATTGTCCAGACTGTTGTTATAGAAGTGTTGCGTTGTCCAGAATGTTGTTATAGAAGTGTTGGGTTGTCAAGACTTGTTATTGAAGTGTTGTGTTGTCAAGACTGTTGTTATAGAAGTGTTGCGTTGTCCAGACTGTTCACATAAACGTGTCAGTTGTTGCTGAGTGTTTTTGTGTAGGTGTTTGTCTGGCAGGTAATGGTAAGACTCAGCGGGGCGGACGAAGACCTGCTGGCTGCCTGTCTGATTGGACGAAGACTCGCTGACTCACTGTCGGATTGGCTCACTCTCACCGTCTGGCCAGAGGGGCAGAGGAAAAGAGTGCAGGGTAAATGGAGTTGAGTACTATCACATCCTCTCTATCTCTCTGTGTCTACTTCTCTCTCACTGGTGTATGAAAGTCTCTCTCTCTCTCTCCCTCTCCAGGAACCAGTGGATGGGAGAGGTGGGTGGTGTTCGAGAACCAAAATAATTCCCCGGAGCCCTTGTTTTCAACTCCACTTGAGGTGGAATGTGGTAGTAGGTACTATAATGTGGTAGATATTACTATAATGTGGTAGTTATTACTATAATGTGGTAGTTATTACTATAATGTGGTAGTTATACTATAATGTGGTAGTTATACTATAATGTGGTAGTTATACTAAGATGTTGTAGTTATTACTATAATGTGGTCGTTATACTATAATGTGGTAGTTATACTATAATGTGGTAGTTATTACTATAATGTGGTAGTTATTACTATAATGTGGTAGTTATTACTATAATGTGGTAGTTATACTATAATGTGGTAGTTATACTATAATGTGGTAGTTATTACTATAATGTGGTAGTTATACTATAATGTGGTAGTTATTACTATAATGTGGTAGTTATTACTATAATGTGGTAGTTATTACTATAATGTGTAGTTATACTATAATGTGGTAGTTATTACTATATGTGGTAGTTATTACTATAATGTGGTAGTTATACTATAATTGGTAGTTATTACTATATGTGGGTAGTTATTACTATAATGTGGTAGTTTACTATAATGTGGTAGTTATTACATAATGTGGTAGTTAGTACTATAATGTGGTAGTTATACTATAATGTGGTAGTTATACTATAATGTGGTAGTTATACTATAATGTGGTAGTTATACTATAATGTGGTAGTTATTACTATAATGTGGTAGTTATACTATAATGTGGTAGTTATACTATAATGTGGTAGTTATACTATAATGTGGTAGTTATTACTATAATGTGGTAGTTATTACTATAATGTGGTAGTTATTACTATAATGTGGTAGTTATTACTATAATGTGTTAGTTATTACTATACTGTGGTATTTATTACTATAATGTGGTAGTTATACTATAATGTGGTAGTTATTACTATAATGTGGTAGTTATTACTATAATGTGGTAGTTATACTGTAATGTGGTAGTTAGTACTATAATGTGGTAGTTATTACTATAATGTGGTAGTTATTACTATAATGTGGTAGTTATACTATAATGTGGTAGTTATACTATAATGTGGTAGTTATTACTATAATGTGGTAGTTATACTATAATGTGGTAGTTATTACTATAATGTGGTAGTTATTACTATAATGTGGTAGTTATACTATAATGTGGTAGTTATTACTATAATGTGGTAGTTATACTATAATGTGGGTAGTATTACTATAATGTGGTAGTTATTACTATAATGTGGTAGTTATTACTATAATGTGGTAGTTATTACTATAATGTGGTAGTTATTACTATAATGTGGGTAGTTATTACTATAATGTGGTAAGTTATACTATAATGTGGTAGTTATACTATAATGTGGTAGTTATTACTATAATGTTGTAGTTATTACTATAATGTGGTAGTTATACTATAATGTGGTAGTTATTACTATAATGTGGTAGTTATACTATAATGTGGTAGTTATACTATAATGTGGTAGTTATTACTATAATGTGGTAGTTATACTATAATGTGGTAGTTATTACTATAATGTGGTAGTTATACTATAATGTGGTAGTTATTACTATAATGTGGTAGTTATACTATAATGTGGTAGTTATTACATTATAATGTGGTAGTTATACTATAATGTGGTAGTTATTACTATAATGTTGTAGTTAGTACTATAATGTGGTAGTTATTACTATAATGTGGTAGTTATACTATAATGTGGTAGTTATTACTATAATGTGGTAGTTATACTATAATGTGGTAGTTATTACTATAATGTTGTAGTTAGTACTATAATGTGGTAGTTATTACTATAATGTGGTAGTTATACTATAATGTGGTAGTTATTACTATAATGTGGTAGTTATACTATAATGTGGTAGTTATTCTATATGTTTTAGTTAGTACTATAATGTGGTAGTTATTACTATAATGTGGTAGTTATACTATAATGTGGTAGTTATTACTATAATGTGGTAGTTATATAAATGTGGTAGTTTATTACTATAATGTGGTAGTTTATACTATAATGTGGTAGTTATTACTATAATGTGGTAGTTATTACTATAATGTGTTAGTTATACTATAATGTGGGTAGATATTACTTAATGTGGTAGTTATACTATAATGTGGTAGTTATTACTATAATGTGGTAGTTATTACTATAATGTGGTAGTTATACTATAATGTGGTAGTTATACTATAATGTGGTAGTTATACTATAATGTGGTAGTTATACTATAATGTGGTAGTTATACTATAATGTGGTAGTTATGCTATAATGTGGTAGTTATACTATAATGTGGTAGTTATTACTATAATGTGGTAGTTATACTATAATGTGGTAGTTTATTACTATAATGTGGTAGTTATACTATAATGTGGTAGTTATTACTATGGTCTCTGGTGCTGTGCTGGGTTATAGGAGGTGAAGGAGCCTAGAGAGTGGATTGATTCACCCCCACACATCACATATTGACAAATCCACATGACTGGAGGGCCTTAGCTTTACCGCCCACCTTCCTCCTCCTCCTCCTCCTCCTCCTCCTCCTCCTCATCATCATCATCATCATCACCATCTTTGTCCCACAAGCACCCACAGCCACACGAGCCGACCGGCTCAGAGCCGGAACAAGGGAAGAGAAGGAGGAGAGGAGGATGACGAAGCATAACAAATGGAATGAAGGGAAAATCTGGGAAAGATTGAGAGAGAGGGAGGTGGAGAGGAGGGAGGGAGAGAGGAGGGAGGTGGAGAGGAGGGAGAGGGAGAGAGGAGGGAGGGAGAGAGGGAGGTGGAGAGGAGGGAGAGAAGGAGAGAGGAGGAGGAGAGGAGGTAGGGAGAGAGGGAGAGAGGGGGGGGGAAGGAGGGAGGTGGAGAGGAGGGAGGGAGAGAGGAGGGAGGTGGAGAGGAAGGGAGAGGAGAGAGGAGGGAGGGGAGAGGAGGGAGGGTGGAGGAGAGGAGCGAGAGAGGAGGGAGGTGGGGGAGGGGGGAGGGGAGGAGGGGAGTGAGAGGGGGAGAGAGGAGGGAGGTGGAGAGGAGGGAGGAGGAGAGGAAGAGGGGAGAGAGAGGAGGGAGGAGAGAGGAGGGAGGGGGAGAGGAGGGAGAGAGAGGAGGGAGGGGAGAAGGAGGGAGGGAGGGGGAGGGAGAGGGAGGGAGGTGGAGAGGAGGAGGGAGAGAGGAGGGAGGTGGAGAGCGAGGAGGGGAGATGGAGGGAGAGAGGAGGAGGGGGAGAGGAGGGAGGTTGGGTGGAGAGGAGGGAGAGAGGAGGGAGGTGGGTGGAGAGGAGGCGAGAGAGGAGGGAGGGAGTGGAGAGGAGGGAGAGAGAGGAGGGGGAGGGAGAGGAGAGGGGGAGAGGAGAGGGGAGGTGGAGAGGAGAGGAGGGAGGAGGAGGGAGCGGGTGGAGAGGAGGGGCGAGAGGAGGATGGTGGAGGGGAGAGGAGGGAGAGAGGAGGGAGTGGAGGGAGGGAGAGAGGAGGGATGCGTGGAGAGGAGGGATGGAGGAGGGAGGGAGGATGGAGGGAGGTGGAGAGGAGGGAGAGGAGGGAGGGTGGAGAGGAGGGAGAGAGGAGGGAGGTGGAGAGGAGAGGAGGGAGAGAGGAGGGAGCGAGGTGGAGAGGAGGGAGAGAGGAGGGAGGGAGGTGGAGAGGAGGGAGAGAGGAGGGAGGTGGAGAGGAGGGAGAGAGGAGGGAGGGAGGTGGAGAGGAGGGAGAGAGGAGGGGAAAGAGATAATATTATTCCTCTCATTCTCTCGTGGTGGTGCTAATCATCAGCTACATCATCATCATCGTCATGGTAATATAGCACCTCATTGAATGAGAGCTCATTAAGTCCTTGAGGCAACAGTCGAGCCACAGCATCCCACTCTATTTAGTTATGCAACCGAGCTGCCGCATTCGCTGGAAAGGATATTGCCATACTTACATATTATGAGACAGCTAAAAATAAAGAGAAGGTACATTTCATGAAATACATTTAAAAAAGTTTTGCCTCATAAAATATTTGATTTAGTTTGGGTGTAGTCTTACTTCCTAGCTGGGATACTACCAATAACAGAAGATTTTCTATTATTCATATTCGATGCTCTACTATTTTCTATGGAAAGTATGCCTGGACACAATATAACACCTCTATGGACCGCCTTAGAATAAGAGATGGAATACCATGAAAACACATTCAGACAAAAGTAAATCTACTTTTCCTTTCTAGTGCTACAACAACTAAACCATATAATGATTTATATTTCTATGAACTACAAGGCCCACTCTAGTACTACAGTGTCCTATACATTCAGACAACATTCAGCAACACAACTCCTGACAAGCTGTAATGGTCCCAAGGCCCATTCCAGCTTATTAAGAATGCATGAGCACACCGAGAGAAGGGGAGAGCAGCTAAGCTAGGCTGTGTGTCAGAGAGAGATTGAGGGAGAGAGAGAGAGAGAGAGAGAGATACATAGAGACAGAGACAGAGAGAGACAGAGAGCGAGAGAGAGAGAGAGAGAGAGAGAGAGAGAGAGGAGAGAGAGAGAGAGCGAGAGCTTAGGGGAGAACTTGTCAAATTAACTCTCGGGGCCTAGGGCAACCTAAGGATGGAGAACTGCAGGGGAGAGGAGTGTGTGTGGTTGTGTGTGTGTGTGTATGTTTTGTGGGGGAGGGTGAGGGAGTTTGTGTGTTTGCATAATGTATATACAAAGGTATGTGGACACTGCTTCAAATTAGTGGATTTGGCTATTTCAGCCACACCCATTGCTGACAGGTGTACAAAATCGAGCACACAGCCATGCAATCTCCATAGACAACATTGTTGAAGAGCTCAGTTATTTATTTTTATTTTTTCACCTTTATTTAACCAGGTAAGCCAGTTGAGAACAGGTTCTCATTTACAACTGCGACCTGGCCAAGATAAAGCAAAGTAGTGCAATAAAAACAACACAGAGTTACATATGGGGTAAAAAACATAAAGTCAGAAATACAACAGAAAATATATATACAGTGTGTGCAAATGTAGCAAGTTATGGAGGTAAGGCAATAAATAGGCTATAGTGCAGAATAATTACAATAGTATTAACACTGGAATGCTAGATGTGCAAGAGATTATGTGCAAATAGAGATACTGGGGTGCAAAAGAGCAAAATAAATAACAATATAGGGATGAGGTAGTTGGGTGGGCTTCAGATGGGCTGTGTACAGGTGCAGTGATCGGTAAGGTGCTCTGACAACTGATGCTTAAAGTTATTGAGGGAGATAAGAGTCTCCAGCTTCAGAGATTTTTGCAATTCGTTCCAGTCATTGGCAGCAGAGAACTGGAAGGAATGGCGGCCAAAGGAGGTGTTGGCTTTGGGAATGACCAGTGAGATATACCTGCTGGAGCGCAGACTACGGGTGGGTGCTGCTATGGTGACCAATGAGCTAAGATAAGGCGGGGATTTGCCTAGCAGTGATTTATAGATGGCCTGGAGCCAGTGGGTTTGACGACGAACATGTAGTGAGGACCAGCCAACAAGAGCGTACAGGTCACAGTGGTGGGTAGTGTATGGGGCTTTGGAGACAAAACGGATGGCACTGTGATAGACTACATCCAATTTGCTGAGTAGAGTGTTGGAGGCTATTTTGTAAATTACATCGCCGAAGTCAAGGATCGGTAGGATAGTCAGTTTTACGAGGGCATGTTTGGCAGCATGAGTGAAGGAGGCTTTATTGCGAAATAGGAAGCCGATTCTAGATTTAACTTTGGATTGGAGATTCTTTATGTGAGTCTGGAAGTTGAGTTTACAGTCTAACCAGACACCTAGGTATTTGTAGTTGTCCACATACTCTAGGTCAGACCCGTCGAGAGTGGTGATTCTAGTCGGGTGGGCGGGTGCCAGCAGCGTTCGATTGAAAAAGCATGCATTTAGTTTTACTAGTGTTTAAGAGCAGTTGGAGGCTACTGAAGGATTGTTGTATGGCATTGAAGCTCGTTTGGAGGTTTGTTAACACAGTGTCCAATGAAGGGCCAGATGTATACAAAATGGTGTCGTCTGCGTAGAGGTGGATCTGAGAGTCACCAGCAGCAAGAGCGACATCATTGATATACACGGAGAAAAGTGTCGGCCCAAGAATTGAACCCTGTGGCACCCCCATAGAGACTGCCATAGGTCCAGACAACAGGCCCTCCGATTTGACACACTGAACTCTATCTGAGAAGTAGTTGGTGAACCAGGCGAGGCAGTCATTTGAGAAACCAAGGCTATTTAGTCTGCCAATAAGAATGCGGTGGTTGACAGAGTCGAAAGCCTTGGCCAGGTCGATGAAGACGGCTGCACAGTACTGTCTATTATCAATCGCGGTTATAATATCGTTGTGACTTTCAACGTGACACCGTCATAGGATGCCACCTTTCTAACAAGTCAGTTCATCAAATGTGTGTCCTACTAAAGCTGCCCCAGTCAACTGTAAGTGCTCTTATTGTGAAGTGGAAACTTCTAGGAGCAACAACAACTCAGCCGGTAGGCCACACAAGCTCACAGAATGGCACTGCCAAGTGCTGAAGCGAGTAGCGCGTAAAAGTAGTCTGTCCTCGAATTCCAAACTGCCTCTGGAAGCAACATCAGCACACGAACTGTTCGTCGGGAGCTTCATGAAATGGGTTTCCATGGCCGAGCAGCCGCACACAAGCCTAAGATCACCATGCGCAATGCCAAGCGTTGGCTGGAGTGGTGTAAAGCTCGCCGCCATTGGACTTTGGAAACGCGTTCTCTGGAGTGATGAATCACGCTTCACCATCTGGCAGTCCGATGGACGAATCTGGGTTTTGCAGATGCCAGGAGAACGCTACCTGCCCGAATGCATAGTGCCAACTGTTAAGTTTGGTGGAGGAGGAATAATGGTCTGGGGCTGTTTTTCATGGTTCGGGCTAGGCCCATTAGTTCCAGTGAAGGGAAATCTTAACGCTACAGCATACAATGACATTCTAGACAATTCTGTGCTTCCAACTTCGTGGCAACAGTTTGTGGAAGGTCCTTTCCTGTTTCAGCATGACAATGCCCCCCTGCACAAAGCGAGGTCCATACAGAAAGTTTGTCGAGATCGCTGTGGAAGAACTTGACTGGCCTGCACAGAGCCCTGACCTCAACCCAATCGAAGACCTTTGGTATGAATTGGAATGCCGACTGCGAGACAGGCCTAATCGCCCATCATCAGTGCCAGACCTCACTAATGCTCTTGTGGCTGAATGGAAGCAAGTTCCAACATCTAGTGGAAAGCCTTCCCAGAAGAGTGGAAGCTGTTATAGCAGCAAAGGGGGGACCAACTCCATATTAATGCCCATGATTTTGGAATTAGATGTTCGACGAGCAGGTGTCCACATACTTTTGGTCATGTAGTGTATTTGCGTGTATGTGACTCTCGTATTGTGTCAAGCAAGTCAAAGCACGTATATACAGTGGGGAAAAAAAGTTTTTAGTCAGCCACCAATTGTGCAAGTTCTCCCACTTAAAAAGATGAGAGAGGCCTGTAATTTTCATCATAGGTACACGTCAACTATGACAGACAAAATGAGAAAAAAATATCCATGGGGTTGAGATCTGGAGACTGTCTAGGCCACTCCAGGACCATGAAATGCTTCTTACGAAGCCACTCCTTCGTTGCCCGGGCGGTGTGTTTGGGATCATTGTCATGCTGAAAGACCCAGCCACGTTTCATCTTCAATGCCCTTGCTGATGGAAGGAGGTTTTCACTCAAAATCTCATGATACATGGCCCCATTCATTCTTTCCTTTACACGGATCAGTCGTCCTGGTCCCTTTGCAGAAAAACAGCCCCAAAGCATGATGTTTCCACCCCCATGCTTCACAGTAGGTATGGTGTTCTTTGGATGCAACTCAGCATTCTTTGTCCTTCAAACACGACGAGTTGAGTTTTTACCAAAAAGTTATATTTTGGTTTCATCTGACCATATGACATTCTCCCAATCCTCTTTTGGATCATCCAAATGCACTCTAGCAAACTTCAGACGGGCCTGGACATGTACTGGCATAAGCAGGGGGACACGTCTGGCACTGCAGGATTTGAGTCCCTGGCGGCGTAGTGTGTTACTGATGGTAGGCTTTGTTACTTTGGTCCCAGCTCTCTGCAGGTCATTCACTAGGTCCCCCCATGTGGTTCTGGGATTTTTGCTCACCGTTCTTGTGATCATTTTGACCCCACGGGGTGAGATCTTGCGTGGAGCCCCAGATCGAGGGAGATTATCAGTGGTCTTCTATGTCTTCCATTTCCTAATAATTGCTCCCACAGTTGATTTCTTCAAACCAAGCTGCTTACCTATTGCAGATTCAGTCTTCCCAGCCTGGTGCAGGTCTACAGTTTTGTTTCTGGTGTCCTTTGACAGCTCTTTGGTCTTGGCCATAGTGGAGTTTGGAGTGTGACTGTTTGAGGTTGTGGACAGGTGTCTTTTATACTGATAACAAGTTCAAACAGGTGCCATTAATACAGGTAACGAGTGGAGGACAGAGGAGCCTCTTAAAGAAGAAGTTACAGGTCTGTGAGAGCCAGAAATCTTGCTTGTTTGTAGGTGACCAAATACTTATTTTCCACCATAATTTGCAAATAAATTCATAAAAAATCCTACAATGTGATTTTCTGGAAATGTTTTCTTTCAATTTGTCTGTCATAGTTGACGTGTACCTATGATGAAAATTACAGGCCTCTCTCATCTTTTTAAGTGGGAGAACTTGCACTATTGGTGGCTGACTAAATATTTTTTTCCCCCACTGTACAGCTAACTGTCAAAATAAGGAAACACTTGAGTAAATGAGGGTTAAAAAGTATATTGAAAGCGGGTGCTTTCTCACAGGTGTGGTTCCTGAGTTAATTAAGAAATGAACATCCCAACATGCTTACGGTCATGTATAAAAATGCCCAGTTGTCCATTATTTTGGTTACCATGGTTAGAAGAAGAGATCTCAGTGACTTTGAAAGAGGGGTCTCAAAGGAGCATAGGGGGTTTAAAGTGTGTGTGTGTGTGTATGTGTGTGTGTGTGTGTGGTGTGTGTGTGTGTGTGTGTGTGTGTGTGTGTGTGTGTGTGTGTGTGTGACTGTACTGCCTGTGTGTATGTGTGTGTCTGTACTCTTTCTGTATGTGTTTGTGTGTGTGTATATGTGTGTGTGTGTGTGTTCATCTCCTGTCATTCTCTCACCGTGCCACCTGGTTGATGACAGGAGCGAAGTTGGTGGGTCCATAGAGCTGAACGGTGCGGAGACTCTGGAAGTACGCCTCCAACACTCCCTCGATCCCCACACAGTTAGGGTTCTCACTGTTGGAGTTCTGTAGAAGAAGAAGTCTTTATGAAGTCAACGTCCGTTGTGACGATGTATGATGACGTATGCTTCTGACAATGCACGTTCATTAAACAATGATGTTATATATGAAGTATGCGAGTATCAGTGTTTTCTTTTTGCCTCATGTCAGTAGGCATAACACAGGACTGAAAGGTAATGGGAGAATTGAAGTTGCTGAATATTTTCTTTAGACAATGTGAAAAAGAGAAATGCCCTCGTCTGGTAAATCAGACACAAGAACAAAAATAATCCAGCAAACAATATGTCTGTTCCCAAAAATGAATTTATTGTCACATAATACAAACACGTTAAATAGCCAACAGTCATTCAGCCAACGTAAAAGACTGAGTCTGCTTTAAGCCCTGTCCGGCCAGGAGAAAAGAGTGTTCTTCAGGCCTTTATTAAAGTCCATCTGTGAAAAACGAGTGAACTGCCGTCTGATCTTCCTCATTCTCTTTGAAGAGAAACCTAATTAAAAGGAAGAAATTAACACGTTAAAAGAAGAGACAGATGGCAGATGTGCAACACACTTTTTTGGTGTCCGCAACTGTAGCTGGTAAAACAGGTTGTATAACTAGCCACAAATGCACACTGACACATTGTTGTGACATGACTATCATTGACCTTATGGGACAGACTTCATGGGACAGAAAGTATAGTAGAAAGTTATGATTCTACATTTTACAGACGGCCAGCTCAAACTTACTTTATTTGCACAATGAGAATTGGGTGAGACATGACTTGTATCACACATCTGTATCAACCATTACTGCAGCAACCATTGCTTGTACAGGCTTCATAACATTGTCATAGCACTTCATAACCCTCTCAACCAGACATACCGCAACATACACAAGTGCTGAACTAAAATGTTAGCGTAGAACGCTACGTTATAAGCCTGTCATCAAGATCAAAGGGCATAGTACTTTGAAAACATTGCTACCTATAGAGGGCAATTTAAATGGAGAATAAGTACTTTATTGTCCATTTTCCTTACAGTCCACTGTGTTGTTTTGCTTCGACCTTTGTATAATTTCCTTCACGTGAAGGAGACTTCTTTAAGGCGAATTCCTCCAGCTTTGGGATTTTTGTTGTTGCTGAAAATAAAACTCATTTTGTTTTTTTACTCTTCTTTGTTCAAGAATTCCTCCTCTTTTTGTTTTACGTCTGTCCAGGGAGATAGTAGACGTCTAGAATCTGAGGAGATTTTTTTTGTTTTTGTGCTTTTAGTGTTTACTGTTTGTTGTTCTTTCCTCATCAGTTCATGATGCTAAGCTAAGTGCTACGTCCTCCAAAGTCTATTCCGGTCTCCGCATCTGTCTGGTCCCTCGTTTGGTTCGCACTTTTCCGCAACAAACAGATGGATTTATTTTCTTTCTCTTCGAGCCATTTTCTGACTCACAAGGTTTTTTCATCTACCCTTGTTCAAACACTTCACAGAACTACTTGGCTTACACAACGGTGCTGCAATTTGTGTTTTGTGTTGACATATTTAGAGGTTTTCGTGTTCTTCATGACTTTACTACCCCATGTTAAGGTAATGTGTTCACGGTGTCATTCATGTGGGCTGTAGGGGTGGATAGAGTCATTGTCAGACTTCACAGAAAATCCCAGAAACTAAGGAAACTCAGCACTGAATCAAGGCAATACTGACCTTTTGCCTTCTGACGATGTATGTTCCTTATGCAATGATGTTATGTAGTATAGAAGTATGAGTGCCTCATGTCAGTAGGCATAACACAGATAGGTATTGGGAGAATTTCAGTTTACAAAATCAAGTATTTCACAGTTAACTGTATTTTCATTGCTAAGAAAATAATAGATTTGGCTTGGAGCTTCAGTCAGCCTTGGATACAAATTGATATAGGGGATGTACAGAAGATGGTCTTCACTACTCAGAAATAGTCTATTTCAACGCACTGCAAGGTCTTGCATCTGAGCCCGACAGATGGATACATACAGTGCATTCGGAAAGTATTCAGACCCCTTGACTTTTTCCACATTTTGTTACGTTACAGCCTTGTTCTAAAATTGATTAAATTGTTTATTTTCCTCATCAATCTACACAACAGGTCGCAGTTGTAAATGAGAACTTGTTCTCAACTGGCTTACCTGGTTAAATAAAGGTGAAAATTATCCCATTCTTCTTTGCAGATCCTCTCAAGCTCTGTCAGGTTGGATGGGGAGCGTCACTGCACAGCTATTTTCAGGTCTCTCCAGAGATGTTCGATCAGGCTCAATTCCGGGCTCTGGCTGGGCCACTCAAGGACATTCAGAGACTTATCCCGAAGCCACTCCTGCGTTGTCTTGGCTGTGTGCTTAGGGTCGCTGTCCTGTTGGAAGGTGAACCTTCGCCCCAGTCTGAGGTCCTGAGCGCTCTGGAGCAGGTTTTCATCAAGGTTCTCTCTGTACTTTCCTCCATTAATCTTTGCCTCAATCCTGACTAGTCTCCCAGTCCCTGCCGCTGAAAAACATCCCCACAGCATGATGCTGCGACCACCATGCTTCACCAGGTGCCAGGTTTCCTCCAGACGCTTGGCATTCAGACCAAAGAGTTCAATCTTGGTTTCATCAGACCAGAGAATCTTGTTTCTCATGGTCTGTGAGTCCTTTAGGTGCCTTTTGGCAAACTCCAAACGGGCTGTCATGTGCCTTTGACTGAGGAGTGGATTCCATCTGGGCACTCTTCCATAAAGGCCTGATTGGTGGAGTGCTGCAGAGATGGTTGTCCTTCTGGAAGGTTCTCCCATCTCCACAGAGGAACTCTGGAGCTCTGTCAGAGTGACCATCGGGTTCTTGGTCAGTTTGGCCGGGCAGCCAGCTCTAGGAAGAGTCTTGGTGGTTCCAAACTTCTTCCATTTAAGAATGGAGGCCACTGTGTTCTTGGGGATCTTCAATGCTGCAAACATTTTTTGGTACCCTTCCCCAGATCTGTGCCTCAACACAATCCTGTCTCAGATCTCTATGGACAATTCCTTCGACCTCATGGCTTGGTTTTTGCTCTGACATGCACTGTCAACTGTGGGACCTTATATAGACATGTGTGTGCCTTTCCAAATCATGTCCAATCAATTGAATTTACCACAGGTGGAAACATCTCAAAGATGATCAATGGAAACAGGATGCACCTGAGCTCAATTTCGAGTCTCTTAGTAAAGGGTCTGAATACTTATGTAAATAAGGTATCTGTTTTTTTTATTTTTATATACATTTGTAAACATCTAAAAACCTGTTTTCGCTTTGTCATTATGGGGTATTGTGTGTAGATTGATGAGGAAAAACATTTATTTAATTCATTTTAGAATAAGGCTGTAACATAACAAAATGTGGATAAAGGGAAGGGGTCTGAATACTTTCCGAATGCACTGTAGACAGGTGTGTGCCTTTCCAAAACATGTCCAATCAATTTAATTTACCACAGGTGGACTCCAATCAAGTTGTAGAAACATCTCAAGGATGATCAATGGAAACAGGATGCACCTGAGCTCAATTTCGAGTCTCATAGCAAAGGGTCTGAATACTTATGTAAATAAGGTATTTCAGTTTTTTTTATTTTTAATACATTTGCAAAAATGTCTAAAAACCTGTATGGGGTATTGTGTGTATATTGATGACATTTTTATTTATTTAATTCCAATTTAGAATAAGGCTGTAACGTAACAAAATGTGGAAAAAGTCAAGGGGTCTGAATACTTACCGAAGGCACCGTATGCTGTACATTATTTTAGTTTCTGACTCTTGTTTGATATGAACTCTTATCCATAAATGGAAGTGTATGAATAAAGAAAGCAATGTGGATGGCAACTTCACATCAGTAAAAACACATTACAGAAGGGACGTTGTTGTAAAAAAGTATTTATATACTTCCAAGGACTGAGGACCCTTCTGTGGATCAGTAAAACTGCAGGAAGAACTACCAGCACCTCTTTGCAATAAATGAAACGGTGCCTGAGCATTCCCCACACTAAGTCCATCGTGAACACAATAAAACACTGGTAGAGAATTGTATCATTCTCACTCCCTCTCTCTCCCTCCCCCTTTCTCTCACCAGTGGGAAGGCATGGGAGATCTTGCCGTCCGGTGGCAGCTTGGCTCCAAAGCCATAGGCGGGGAACATCTTGTCACTGTCGTAGTCCTGGATGATCTCCCCCACAGCCTTCAGGGCCATGGCGTAGGCATTCATCTGGTAGGGACTCATGTAGTGCAGAGAGGTGGGCTGGGATGGGTTACCTGGAACACAGCAACAGAGCATACATGTTTTATTTTTTAGACAGGGAAGTCATATTGAAACCCAGAATTTTCAAATGAGTCCTACACAACATAAGAAATACAAAACCCACCTATCAAATACAAGAAAGGCATGGGCCAAATAGGGTCCGTTCCACACTACCATACTACTTGTCTTATAAAGGCGTTTTTAATACATTGATCTAGCTAAGTGGTATGCTAGGGTGAATGCTGACCTAAATCCACATGATTGTGGTTCAAATCCATCTACTTTCCCATACTAGGAGCGTCAGCATTGCAGTATCTGATGTTCATTTGATAGGAAAATATTGTCAACAACATTTGGCCCTGCTTTAGACCAGGAGTCTTCAACCTTTTCTTGCCCTGGGACCCAATCATATCTTAGCCAACTTTTTTTAGGGGGCGCATGTCTTGTCTTATCAGTTGAATGGCAAGGAGAAGTAATCAACATTTTAAAATTAATACATTTGGTAGATAGTTTTTCATTATTTTGACCTCCCCACATTATAATTGGAAGAGGAAGTGTAACTCTAACATAGCCTATTAGCTAGAAAAGTAACTCCAAACACATTTTCGCTAATAGCAGCTGGTTAGACAAAGGTTAGCCATGTGTTGGCAAAAATATATGTCCAAGACAAGAAAGCTTACCAGCAGCCAGCGGCACTGGTACTCATGGGTGCTATGTCAGATACTCCAATGAGTGTAGTTATTTCTCAATATTAGGAGTTGATAAAAAATAAGAATAATCATTAGAAAGAAGATATACTCCTCTTTTATTTTGTAGATATGTAATTCAAAATTGGTTTATTCTGTTGTTATTCATAAATATACCATGCATTATACCATGTTAAATAACCCTGCTTTAGACAACAGGTTAGCATAATATTATTTTACAAGGACTTTTGGGAAACGTTGGTCCTTCAGTAGCCTAAAAGAGACGCTAATAAACAACAAACGGTCTCAGTAATTTGGCTACACTTACCATTAGACGCTGTGAAATCGATGGCCACTGTGAAGTTGAGTTGCGTCCTGGTGAGACAATGATGAATTACGATGAATAACTAAAATTTTACCAGACAAAAACATAATGAAGTCTAGAAAGGATATTGTCTGTTAAAACAACGCAAAACAATTTCAGACATGCATGCTAGGCTGAGTAAGCTGTCAACGGCTAATCAACGTTATTAAGAGTGGCCTCTAACGTTAATGGAACGTTATAAAGAGTGGCCGCTAACGTTAATGGAACGTTATTAAGAGTGGTCTCTAATGTTAATGGAACGTTATTAAGAGTGGCCTCTAACATTAATGGAACGTTATTAAGAGTGGACTCTAACGTTAATGGAACGTTATTAAGAGTGGCCGCTAACGTTAATAGAACGTTATTAAGAGTGGCCTCTAACATTAATGGAACGTTATTAAGAGTGGCCTCTAATGTTAATGGAACATTATTAAGAGTGGCCTCTAACATTAATGGAATGTTATTAAGAGTGGCCGCTAACGTTAATGGAACGTTATTAAGAGTGGCCGCTAACGTTAATGGAACGTTATTAAGAGTGGCCTCTAACGTTAATGGAGTCTTATTAAGAGTGGCCTCTAACATTAATGGAACGTTATTAAGAGTGGCCTCTAATGTTAATGGAACATTATTAAGAGTGGCCTCTAACATTAATGGAATGTTATTAAGAGTGGCCGCTAACGTTAATGGAACGTTATTAAGAGTGGCCTCTAACGTTAATGGAGTCTTATTAAGAGTGGCCTCTAACATTAATGGAACGTTATTAAGAGTGCTCTCTAATGTTAATGGAACGTTATTAAGAGTGGCCTCTAACATTAATGGAATGTTATTAAGAGTGGACTCTAACGTTAATGGAACGTTATTAAGAGTGGCCGCTAACGTTAATAGAATGTTATTAAGAGTGGCCTCTAACATTAATGGAACGTTATTAAGAGTGGCCGCTAACGTTAATGGAACCTTATTAAGTATGGCCTCTAACGTTAATGGAACGTTATTAAGAGTGGCCTCTAACGTTAATGGAACGTTATTAAGAGTGCCTCTAACGTTAATGGAACGTTATTAAGAGTGGCCTTTAACGTTAATGGAACGTTATTAAGAGTGGCCTCTAACGTTAATTGAACGTTATAAAGAGTGGCCTCTAACGTTAATGGAACGTTATTAAGAGTGGCCTCTAACGTTAATGGAACGTTATTAAGAGTGGCCTCTAACGTTAATGGAACGTTATTAAGAGTGGTCTCTAACGTTAATGGAATGTTATTAAGAGTGCCTCTAACGTTAATGGAACATTATTAAGAGTTGGCTCACCCTCCCCGGATGAAGTCCACAAATGTGTATTCTGACTCCACTTTGAAGGACAGCAGTGTCACCTTCAGAGGATAGAGAGATGGGGTGAGGGGAGAGATGGAGATAGAGAAAGAGGGAGAGAGGGCAGAGAGAAACAGGGTGATAGAGGGGAGAGATGGAGATAGAGAAAGAGGGAGAGAGGGCAGAGAGAAACAGGGTGATAGAGGGGAGAGATGGAGAGAGAAAAAGAGGGAGAGAGGGCAGAGAGAAACAGGGTGATAGAGGGGAGAGATGGAGAGAGAGAAAGAGGGAGCGGGAAGAAAAATAGATGGGCAAAGCAAAACGTTTACTGCATATGACATATCACAATGGCAATGAATCCTATCTATACAACAATGAATCCTATCTATACAACACAGACAGGTGGACATGGGAAAGCTCAACCGATACTTACTGTCCCTGAATTGACGTACTTCTTCTTCTTGCCTTTCTTTTTATGGTTTAGAACCTGGACAAAAACGGGTAGAGAAGGGAAAACGTGTACATTGATACAGATGTCTTAGAAAAGAGGACTGGTTTGATTTCACTCTATCATTTAGAGTATGTAGGTGTGGTACGGAAAGAAATGGACCGAATCTAACATTTCATATTATAAGATGGGGAAGACGGATGGAAAATAACTATTTTCATAGCGGGGATATGTGAGTGTAGTCGTAAGAGTTGGAAATTGGGAAACTTTAATGGGAAAATCACAAAAATGCTTCACTGCTCATCTCATTATTAAAGATACAATATGACAAACAGTTGTTGATGTATTTCAGTAAGAGCTGTAATAACAGAAGCTGAGGTTGTGTACTTAAAGCTGCAATATGTAACTTTTTGGGAGACCCGACCAAATTCACATAGAAATGTGAAAAGATCTGTCATTCTCATTGTAAGCAAGTCTAAGAAGCAGTAAAGCTGTTCTATGTGCGCTATTTCTATGCTTCCCATTCTTAAGTTTTGTTTTTGCGTCTTTTACTTTCGGTTTTATACACCAGCTTCAAACAGCTGAAAAAACTATATTGTTGGTGATGGAAAATATATTTCACAGCGGTTTAGATGGTACAATGATTCTCTAAACTATACTTGCTTGTTTTGTCACATAAACTGAAATTAGACAAACTACTTGAATTTTTAGCAACCAGGAAATGGCGACCGATTTCTGCATAGTGCACCTTTAAACAGTAGAGTCAGTTGAAAATGTCCTACATAGAGAGACATGACATAATATAAACCTTTTTATAAAGGCATTATAAAGGCTTTTTTTTTTTTTTTTTTTTTGTTGAAAAGGCTTTCAACGTCTTGTGCTCACTGGGATACATGCTTAAGTGTTGCAGGCTTTAAGTGTTACCATTCTTTTTTTACCTCATAGACGTTGAACTGGCTCTGGCCTCTTGAGAATTCTCTGTAGCTGGTGGTGAACTCGCCAATGAAGTCATGACTGTGGGAATAGTTGCGAGAGTAACACCTGCAGCATCTGAAAGAGTATCATACTGAAGGAAACACCAACCCCGGCCCCTCTTCTTCATCTAAATATCATCACCTAAAGCCAAATAGGACATGCCTGCTTTCAATCGTTGTGTGATATTTAGAGAGGAAGCCTTGTGGGAACATCAGTAGCCACCATCAGTGAAGAAGGAATGGAAAGAGGACAGAGAGATGGAGAGAGGGAGAGATGGAGGGAGGAAGGAGGTCAACACTCATATTTCCTTTCATAAAGAAGGGGACAGAGAGATGGAGGGAGAGGGAGAGAGGAAGGGAGAGATGGAGGGAAGGGAGAGATGGAGGGAGGGAGAGATGGAGGGAGGTCAACACTCACATTTCCCCCATAAAGAAGGAATAGAGAGATGGAGGAAGGGAGAGACGGAGGGAGGGAGAGATAGAGGGAGGTCAACACTCACATTTCCACCATAAAGAAGGAATATAGAGATGGAGGAAGGGAGAGATGGAGGGAGGGGGAGATGGAGGGAGAGAGAGAGAGATGGAGGGAGGTCAACACTCACATTTCCCCCATAAAGAAGGAATAGAGAGATGGCGGGAGGGAGAGATGGAGGGAGGTCAACACTCACATTTCCCCCATAAAGAAGGAATAGAGAGATGAAAGGAGGGAGAGAGGAAGGGAGAGATGGAGGGAGGAGGTCAACACTCACATCGTGAACACTCTCCATTCTGATATCACATCTGATAATATCTTTAAAGTTCCAGTCAGTGATTTATGTTTGTGTGTGCCAACCCTAACCTTAACCCGAACCCTTATGAGGGACAGTCCCCCTCATTGAGATTTCCCTCCAGAGAAAGAATGAGGGATGACATTTGAGGGAGATTTGGAGCGTCTGAGGCTCTCTGGAGATGGTAAATGAAATGAATGAAGGAAGAAACGAGGGGGAGTGGAAGAGAGAATAGAGAGAGAAAGAGAGAGAGCGAGAGAGAGAGAGAAAATTACCTTCCATTTCGGTCCCAATCATACACATCCACCTTGACCGTCCTGGATAGAGGGAAGAAGAGAGAGAAAGATGAGAATCACAGAGAGGTGTGTGTGTGTGTGTGTGTCTGTGTGTTCCAAGTCTGTGAAATATGAGGCATACAGTAGTTCACCCACCACCTATGGAGAAATGTTCAAACATAATCTCAAATGGTCACACAGATTATATTCTCAAATGGTCAAACAGATGCATTTTCACTCTCCTTGAAAAATCTGTGGTGATGAAGTATAGAAATAGCTTAAAGGATTTACCCAGTCAAAATTATTATGTACAGTCGTGGTCAAAAATTTTGAGAATTACACAAATATTAATTTTCACAAAGTCTGCTGCCTCAGTTTTTATGATGTCAATTTGCATATACTCCAGAATGTTATGAAGAGTGATCAGATGAATTGCAATTAATTGCAATGTCCCTCTTTGCCATGAAAATGAACTTAATCCCAAAAAAACATTTCCACTGCATTTCAGCCCTGCCACAAAAGGACCAGCTGACATCATGTCAGTGATTCTCTCGTTAACACAGGTGAGAGAGTTGACGAGGACAAGGCTGGAGATCACTCTGTCATGCTGATTGAGTTAGAATAACAGACTGGAAGCTTTAAAAGGAGGGTGGTGCTTGAAATCATTGCTCTTCCTCTGTTAACCATGGTTACCTGCAAGGAAACACGTGCCGTCATCATTGCTTTGCACAAAAAGGGATTCACAGGCAAGGATATTGCTGCTATTAAGATTACACCTAAATCAACCATTTATCGGATCATCAAGAACTTCAAGGAGAGAGGTTCAATTGTTGTGAAGAAGACTTCAGGGCACCCAAGAAAGTCCAGAAAGCGCCAGGACCGACTCCTAAAGTTGATTCAGCTGCGGGATCGGGGCACCACCAGTGCAGAGCTTGCTCAGGAATGGCAGCAGGCAGGTGTGAGTGCATCTGCACGCACAGTGAGGCGAAGACTTTTGGAGGATGGCCTGGTGTCAAGAAGGGCAGCGAGGAAGCCACTTTGGTACCTGACCAGGCACCGGTGAAACGGGCACGGGCTGGCGATGCACACCACAGGTTTGGTGCGGGGAGCAGGAACAGGCCGGGCCGGGCTGGCGACGCGCACCACTAGCTTGGTGCGGGGAGCAGGAACAGGCCGGGCCGGGCTGGCGATGCGCACCACAGGTTTGGTGCGGGGAGCAGGAACGGGCCGGGCCGGGCTGGCGACGCGCACCATTGGCTTGGTGCGGGGAGCAGGAACAGGCCGGGCCAGGCTGGCGACGCGCACCATAGGCTTGGTGCGAGGGGCAGGAACAGGCCGGGCCGGGCTGGCGATGCGCACCATAGGCTTGGCGCGATGGACAGGAACAGGCCGGACCGTACTGGGAACACACACCACTGGCCTTACACGGGGATCAGGAACGGGCCGGACCGGACTGGCAACACACTTCAGTACCTCTCGCCGTGCCTCTACATTTTCCTTCCCTCTATACACCAATGGCTCCCGTAACCCGGTGGCCTTCTCTCCTCGTCCACCAACTCGCCCCTTATCTGCCTCCAGTGGCCCTGTCGTCCCTGCCATGTGCCCCCCCTAAAAATTTATTGGGGGTGCCCCTCGCCTGTCCGACGACTGCCCGGTTGGCGCCGCTTCTCCTCTCCTGCCTGGGCACGCTGCTTGGTCCTGTATTGGTGGGATCTTCTGTCACGATCGTCGGATATAGAGGACCAAGGCGCAGCGTGGAAGGTGAACATACTTATTTATTTATTAAATGATACACGAACAAAACAACAAATCGATACGTGACGTCCACAGGTGCAAAACACAAACCAACACGGAACAAGATCCCACAAACACTGTGGGAAAACCACCTGACTAAATATGGTTCCCAATCAGAGACAACCAGCAACAGCTGATACTCGTTGCCTCTGATTGAGAACCACTCTGGCCAACATAGATATACAAAAACTAGACTAGACACAACGAGCACAAAACATAAACTCTACACACCCTGGCTCAACTTAAAAGAGTCCCTAGAGCCAGGGCGTGACAAGGTTGTAAGGCAACAAAATGGGAAAAATGCCAAGGGGGGTAAATACTTTCGCAAACCACTGTAAATAGGATACAATATACTGTTCATTTAATTAATTAACAATATAATACAATTAATTCGCATGAATCATAATTCACAAGGATAAAAAGCTGTACCCACTAACAATAAATTCCAAAGTAATAGTTTGTGTGTGTGTGTGTGTGTGTGTGTGTGCGTGCGTGCGTGTGTGTGTGTGTGTGTGTGTGTGTGTGTGTGTGCGTGCGTGCGTGCGTTTGATAACCAGAGATAAACGAAACATCGTGGAACCTCCATGTTGGTCCCAATAACACCAGCGCTGGCCTCTGAGACAATATGGCCGACTGCTGGCATTATTCTGACCACCACAGAGCATTATGGGTACTGTAGTAAATCATGCTACAGCAACATTCCATAGTCCTTTAGATTGAGGGCGGACAGTGACAAAAGCACAAAGACTTAGTCCCAAAGCCTTTCCAATGGCTCAGCTAGCAAGGTGCTGGCAACATCAGAGTTTGATTCTGGCATGGACCATACTGGAGAATATACTGCTGTAGCCTATACTCATTTTTACATTGCTTGTTTTTTGTGTTCTTTAAAAGCGCTTTGAGATTCTTTCTGTAATAGAAAGCACAATGAAATAAATAAATAAATATAATTTATTAGGTTGCTCTGGATGAAAGCTTCTGCTGAAATCCCCCAAAATAGCTCATGTGGTCATCTCTTTACCCTAGGTGCTAAGTGATATTTGACCCATGCAGTTGGCTGTCCGTGTGTCACTCACCTATCATAGTCTCCATTACAGAGGGCTCGTACAGGGATGGTGAAGGGCTGCCACACAGGGTTCAGAGTATTCTTTATCACCTCTGTCTTATGGCAGATGGTGAACCTACAGGACACAGAACACACAAGGAGCTCTGAGTACAGATACTGTACAGGGATGGAAAAGGTATTAACCACAAATACCAAAGAATATGGTGAACCTACAGAAATATAATTACTTATAAGGGTGCAGTCGAATGGCCGTGGTGTGATGGGCTTCCCCCCCTAGTAATTATATTTGTATGGACCCAAAGAAATTCCTGACGCCAGTGATGGCAAACGAGACGATCATTTTGAATGTCTATGATATGGGTACACAGCATTTACATTACATTTACATTTACGTCATTTAGCAGACGCTCTTATCCAGAGCGACTTACAAATAGGTGCATTCACCTCATAGCCAGTGGGATAACCACTTTACAATGTTTTTTTCAAGGCATAGAGGTATCCACCACAAACACCAAGGAAATGAAAGCGTTTGTTCTCTCCAAAATCAACATTTTGATATCAACAGATATTATATTTTCCATTCATTTTGGGGTTGAGGCAAAGGCCTATAGCTGGATCTACATAACAGACGATGTGGGAAGTTAACTCATCTCGATACGCACACATAAACACACACACTCACGTTCCGTCTTCATTGCTGCGGTAGAAGACCAGGAATGGGTCTGACTTGCCGAAGAAGTCTTTTTTGTCCAGCTTGTTGGCACACAGCTGCATAGTGGCAATGTCCTGAAAGAAAATACAAGTCTCAGACAAGTCTAAACATTAAACCAAGGTGGTGGTATTAATCGCCACCAAAGGTGCTTCTACAAAGTTTTGACTCAGGGTGTGAATAGTTACAGAGAATTTGGAAAGTATTCAGACCCCTTGACTTCTTCCGTATTTTGTTATGTTACAGCCTTATTCTAAAAAGTATTAAATAGTTATTTTCTCTCATCAATCTACACACAATACCCCATAATGACAAAACAAAAATAGGTTTCTAGATTTTTGGGCCCAAAAAAAAACAAATAAAAAAAGGAAATCTCACATTTACATAAGTATTCAGACCCTTTACTCAGTACTTTGTTGAAGCACCTTTGTCAGCGATTACAGACCTGAGTCTTCTTGGGTATGACGCTACAAGCTTGGCACACCTGTATTTGGGGAGTTTCTCCCATTCTTCTCTGCAGATCCTCTCAAGCTCTGTCAGGTTGGATGGGGAGCATCGCTGCACAGCAATTTTCAGGTCTCTCCAGAGATGTTCGATGGGGTTCATGTCCGGGCTCTGGCTGGGCCACTCAAGGACATTCAGAGACTTGTCCCGAAGCAACTCCTGCTTAGGGTTGTTGTCCTGTTGGAAGGTGAATCTTTGCCCCAGTCTGAGGTCCTGAGCACTCTGGAGCAGGTTTTCATCAAGGATCTCTCTGTAATTTGCTGACTAGTCTCCCAGTCCCTGCTGCTGAAAAACATCCCCACAGCATGATGCTGCCATCACCATGCTTCACTGTAGGGATGGTGCCAGGTTTCCTCCAGACGTGACACTTGGCATTCAGGCCAAAGAGTTCAATCTTGGTTTCATCAGACCAGATAATCTTGTTTCTCATGGTCTGAGAGTCCTTTAGGTGCCTTTTGGCAAACTCCAAGCGGGCTGTCGTGTGCCTTTTACTGAGGAGTGGCTTCCGTCTGGATTGATGGAGTGCTGCAAAGATGGTTGTCCTTCTGGAATGTTCTCCCATCTCCACAGAGGAACTCTGGAGCTCTTTAGAGAGATCATCGGGTTCTTGGTCACCTCCCTGACCAAGGCCCTTCTCCCCCGATTACTCAGTTTGGCCGGCGGCCAGCTCTAGGAAGAGTCTTGGTGATTCCAAACTTCTTCCATTTATGAACGATGGAGGCCACTGTGTTCCTGGGGACCTTCAATGCTGCAGACATTTTTTGGTAACCTTCCCCAGATCTGTGCCTCGACACAATCCTGTCTCAGAGCTCTACGGACAATTCCTTTGACCTCATGGCTTGGTTTTTGCTCTGACATGCACTGTCAACTGTGGGAACTTATATAGACAGGTGTGTGCCTTTCCAAATCATGTCCAATCAATTGAATTTACCACAAGTGGACGCCATTCAAGTTGTAGAAACATCTCAAGGATGATCAACGGAAACAGGATGTACCTGAGCTCAATTTCGAGTCTCATAGCAAAGGGTCTGAATACTTATGTAAATAAGGTATTTCTGTTTTTTATATGTAATACATTTGCAAACATTTCTAAAAACCTGTTTTCGCTTTGTCATTATGGGGTATTGTGTGTAGATTGATGAGGATTTGTATTTATTTAATCCATTTTAAAATAAGGCTGTAACATAAACAAAAGGTGGAAAAACGGAAGGGGTCTGAATACTTTCCGAATGCACTTTAAGTAAATTACATATTTCAGTATTTCATTTTCAATACATTTGCAAACATTTCTAAAAATATGTTTTCACTTTGTTATTATGGGGTATTGTGTGTAGATGGGTGAGAAAACAAAGTAACACAACAAAATGTGGAATAAGTCAAGGGGTATGAACACTTTCTGAAGGCACTGTAACTACAATGGCTAAACATCACTATTTTAACATATTCAAAAATAAACATGTTGCTTTTAACAATTTTTCCGACCAAGTGTTTATGAGAAAGGTTGATTCTTGTTTGGAGATGGTTTAGGGGTTGACAGGTTGGATTCAGCAACAAGTCGACACACTTTCTATGACAGCACTACACAGTCGTGGTCAAAAGTTTTGAGAATGACACAAATACTAATTTTCACAAAGTCTGCTGCCTCAGTTTTGATGATGGCAATTTGCATATATTACAGAATGTCATGAAGAGTGATCAAATGAATTGCAATTAATTGCAAAGTCCCTCTTTGCCATGAAAATGAACTTAATCCCAAAAAAAACATTTCCATTGCATTTCAGCCCTGCTACAAAAGGACCAGCTGCCATCATGTCAGTGATTCTCTCATTAACACAGGTGAGAGTGTTGACGAGGACAAGGCTGGAGATGACTCTGGCATGCCGATTGAGTTAGAATAACAGACTGGAAGCTTTAAAAGGAGGGTGGTGCTTGAAATCATTGTTCTTAAGTTGATTCAGCTGCGGGATCAGGGCACCACCAGTGCAGAGCTTGCTCAGGAATGGCAGCAGGCAGGTGTGAGTGCATCTGCATGCACAGTGAGGCGAAGACTTTTGGAGGATGGCCTGGTGTCAAGAAGGGCAGCAAAGAAGCCACTTCTCTCCAGGAAAAACATCAGGGACAGACTGATATTCTGCAAAAGGTACAGGGATTGGACTGCTGAGGACTGGGGTAAAGTCATTTTCTCTGATGAATCCCCTTTCCGATTGTTTGGGGCATATGGAAAACACCTTGTCCGGAGAAGACAAGGTGAGCGCTACCATCAGTCCTGTGTCATGTCAACAGTAAAGCATCCTGAGACCATTCATGTGTGGGGTTGCTTCTCAGCCAAGGGAGTGGGCTCACTCACAATTTTTCCTAAGAACACAGCCATGAATAAAGAATGGTACCAACACATCAGAACAACTTCTCCCAACCATCCAAGAACAGTTTGGTGACGACCAATGCCTTTTCCATCATGATGGAGCACCTTGCTATAAGGAAAAAGTGATAACAAAGTGGCTCGGGGAACAAAACATCGACATTTTGGGTCCATGGCCAGGAAACTCCCCAGACCTTAATCCCATTGAGAACTTGTGGTCGATCCTCAAGAGGCGGGTGGATAAACAAAAACCCACAAATTCTGACAAACTCCAAGCATTGATTATGCAAGAATGGGCTGCCATCAGTCAGGATGTGGCCCAGAAATTAATTGACAGCATACCAGGGCGGATTGCAGAGGTCTTGAAAAAGAAGGTTCAACACCGCAAATATTGACTCTTTGCATAAACTTAATGTAATTGTCAATAAAAGCCTTTGACACTTATGGAATGCTTGTAATTATACTTCAGTATACCATAGTATCATCTGACAAAGATATCTCATTACACTGAAGCAGCACACTTTGTGAAGACCAATACCACGACTGTAGACCTTTCCTGCAGTCAAATGACCAAATCACCTTCTAGTGGCCTCAAAGGTGGAATGTTATTAATATTTTATTTTATTTCATAATAATAAACATTAATTTTAAAAAACCTGCCGATATCCAGTGTTTCTATGTCAAACGGTTTGTTATATTTCAGTCTTCTGTGATGTATATAAAGCGTAATTTTGGGATACAATCTCAAATGTAATACATTTCAACTCAAATATCTGACATGGTACAAGTGTCTTATTTTTTTAAAGCCAATAACCATGTGTGTGAGGTGTATACTTTTGTTTCAAAGTAGATTGGTTTTAAGACTATCCAGAAACACTCTGTGTGACCCTGATTTAGCCCACTGCAGTAAAAGGTTAGTAACCATGTAATAGGATAAAGAGTTACTATAAGTACCAAGAGATGTAATGGTAAAAGTAATTGAAAATGTCAAGTTAAAGCTGCAATATGTAACTTTTTGGGCGACCTAACCAAAGCACATAGAAATGTGAGTTATAGATCTGTCACTCTCATTGAAAGCAAGTCTAAGAATCAGTAGATACAGTGGGGAAAAAAAGTATTTAGTCAGCCACCAATTGTGCAAGTTCTCTCACTTAAAAAGATGAGAGAGGCCTGTAATTTTCATCATAGGTACACGTCAACTATGACAGACAAAATGAGAAAAAAAAATCCAGAAAAACACATTGTAGGATTTTTTATGAATTTATTTGCAAATTATGGTGGAAAATAAGTATTTGGTCAGTAACAAAAGTTTCTCAATACTTTGTTATATACCCTTTGTTGGCAATGACACAGGTCCAACGTTTTCTGTAAGTCTTCACAAGGTTTTCACACACTGTTGCTGGTATTTTGGCCCATTCCTCCATGCAGATCTCCTCTAGAGCAGTGATGTTTTGGGGCTGTCGCTGGGCAACACGGACTTTCAACTCCCTCCAAAGATTTTCTATGGGGTTGAGATCTGGAGACTGGCTAGGCCACTCCAGGACCTTGAAATGCTTCTTACGAAGCCACTCCTTCGTTGCCAGGGCGGTGTGTTTGGGATCATTGTCATGCTGAAAGACCCAGCCACGTTTCATCTTCAATGCCCTTGCTGATGGAAGGAGATTTTCACTCAAAATCTCACAATACATGGCCCCATTCATTCTTTCCTTTACACGGATCAGTCGTCCTGGTCCCTTTGCAGAAAAACAGCCCCAAAGCATGATGTTTCCACCCCCATGCTTCACAGTAGGTATGGTGTTCTTTGGATGCAACTCAGCATTCTTTGTCCTCCAAACACGACGAGTTGAGTTTTTACCAAAAAGTTATATTTTGGTTTCATCTGACCATATGACATTCTCCCAATCCTCTTCTGGATCATCCAAATGCACTCTAGCAAACTTCAGACGGGCCTGGACATGTACTGGCTTAAGCAGGGGGACACGTCTGGCACTGCATGATTTGAGTCCCTGGCGGCGTAGTGTGTTACTGATGGTAGGCTTTGTTACTTTGGTCCCAGCTCTCTGCAGGTCATTCACTAGGTCCCCCCGTGTGGTTCTGGGATTTTTGCTCACCGTTCTTGTGATCATTTTGACCCCACGGGGTGAGATCTTGCGTGGAGCCTCAGATCGAGGGAGATTGTCAGTGGTCTTGTATGTCTTCCATTTCCTAATAATTGCTCCCACAGTTGATTTCTTCAAACCAAGCTGCTTACCTATTGCAGATTCAGTCTTCCCAGCCTGGTGCAGGTCTACAGTTTTGTTTCTGGTGTGCTTTGACAGCTCTTTGGTCTTGGCCATAGTGGAGATTGGAGTGTGACTGTTTGAGGTTGTGGACAGGTGTCTTTTATACTGATAACAAGTTCAAACAGGTGCCATTAATACAGGTAACGAGTGGAGGACAGAGGAGCCTCTTAAAGAAGAAGTTACAGGTCTGTGAGAGCCAGAAATCTTGCTTGTTTGTAGGTGACCAAATACTTATTTTCCACCATAATTTGCAAATAAATTCATTAAAATTCCTACAATGTAATTTTCTGGATTTTTTTTTCTCAATTTGTCTGCCATAGTTGACGTGTACCTATGATGAAAATTACAGGCCTCTCTCATCTTTTTAAGTGGGAGAACTTGCACAATTGGTGGCTGACTAAATACTTTTTTTCCCCACTGTATGTTCTATGTACGCTATTTCTATACTTGTCTTTCTTAAGTTTAGTTTTTGCATCTTTTACTTTAGGTTTTGTACACCAGCTTCAAAAAGCTGAAAATACTATAGTTATGGATATTGAAAAGATATTTCACAGCGGTTTAGATGGTACAATAAATTATCTACACTGCTTTTTTTGTCACAAACTGAAATTAGGCAAACTATTAGAATTTTAGCAACCAGGAAATGGCGGAGCGATTTCTGCATATTGCAACTTTAACAAGTATGCTGTGCATATGTATGTGCATATGCACCTCAATGACAACATCCATATTCATCATATTTCACAGGGAAACCTCTGAGAAAGCCAAAACAAAAGACTCATTTGGTTGAGCAAATATCTACCGAGGAGGAGCAGCCCACCTGTATAAACAGAATAGAACTAGAACGGAGACATCACAGAACATTGACTTGAACGAGTTTTACCATTTTTGGTAATTATATTTTTATGAGCGCGACATCCTGTGGAAATCACACCTTTCGGAGATCTGGGCGAGGTGGCAGAGTAAACACAACATTTAATCTGGCACGCAGCATGCCCCTTCCTTTCTCTTTCTGTAATGAACGATACACTTTAATATATTCTCTATGTTTGATGATACAGAACTTAACTATGCATACATATGCACGTTTTCAGAGCCCAATCACGATACCCCCAATAGAGATGGAATAAGAATGATACTTCATCTCAATGGGTATTCCTCTGTTTTCTCAATCATTAGATAAATCATTCCCAGGAAGTCAAACTGAGAAAGAGAGAGAGAGAGAGAGAGAGAGAGAGAGAGAGAGAGAGAGAGAGAGAGAGAGAGAGAGAGAGAGAGAGAGAGAGAGAGACGTAATAACGGAACATGACCTGTCTCTATTTAATTATTCAGCCACCAAGAAAAAGAGGAAAACATTTGAGATAGAGAGATAAATAATTCATAACTGAGGGGAATCGTCACTGTCGTTATTCACTGTCAGGATGTATATTTATTCCAATATTGTTGTCTGCATTACCCTGACAGAATGATAATCTTTTCACTGGCTGCGTCCCAAATGGCACCCTATTCCCTATATAGTGCACTCCCAAAGGGTTCTGGTCAAAAGTAGTTTGCTATGTAGTTAATAGGATCCTTTTGGGACATTACCACTATTTTATATTCCCTGTCATGATGTTGAATAGATGAGAATATGATAAATACATACACAATGGAATGAAGAAATAAGAAAAGGAAAGGTGGAGACTGAGGGAGAGATATGATCTAGCCTAAAGTAGAGATGAAGAATGTCTACCTAAGTAGAGATATGACTATAGGATTCTAGCCTAAAGTAGAGATATGACCTAGTAGAGATATGTTCTAGCCTAAAGTAGAGATATGACCTAGTAGAGAAATGTTCTAGCCTAAAGTAGAGATATGACCTAGTAGAGATATGTTCTAGCCTAAAGTAGAGATATGACCTAGCCTAAAGTAGAGATATGACCTAGCCTAAAGTAGAGATATGACCTAGTAGAGATATGACCTAGTAGAGATATGTCCTAGTAGAGATATGACCTAGTAGAGATATGTCCTAGTAGAGATATGATCTAGCCTAAAGTAGAGATATGACCTAGTAGAGATATGATCTAACCTAAAGTAGAGATATGACCTAGCCTAAAGTAGAGATATGACCTAGTAGAGAAATGTTCTAGCCTAAAGTAGAGATATGTTCTAGTAGAGATATGATCTAGCCTAAAGTAGAGATATGACCTAGTAGAGATATGATCTAGCCTAAAGTAGAGATATGACCTAGCCTAAAGTAGAGATATGACCTAGTAGAGATATGACCTAGTAGAGATATGTCCTAGTAGAGATATGACCTAGTAGAGATATGTCCTAGTAGAGATATGATCTAGCCTAAAGTAGAGATATGACCTAGTAGAGATATGATCTAACCTAAAGTAGAGATATGACCTAGCCTAAAGTAGAGATATGACCTAGTAGAGAAATGTTCTAGCCTAAAGTAGAGATATGTTCTAGTAGAGATATGATCTAGCCTAAAGTAGAGATATGACCTAGTAGAGATATGTTCTAGCCTAAAGTAGAGATATGACCTAGTAGAGAAATGTTCTAGCCTAAAGTAGAGATATGTCCTAGTAGAGATATGATCTAGCCTAAAGTAGAGATATGACCTAGCCTAAAGTAGAGATATGACCTAGCCTAAAGTAGAGATATGACCTAGTAGAGAAATGTTCTAGCCTAAAGTAGAGATATGACCTAGTAGAGATATGATCTAGCCTAAAGTAGAGATATGACCTAGCCTAAAGTAGAGATATGACCTAGTAGAGAAATGTTCTAGCCTAAAGTAGAGATATGACCTAGTAGAGATATGATCTAGCCTAAAGTAGAGATATGACCTAGTAGAGATATGTTCTAGCCTAAAGTAGAGATATGACCTAGTAGAGATATGTTCTAGCCTAAAGTAGAGATATGACCTAGTAGAGATATGATCTAGCCTGAAGTAGAGATATGTTCTAGCCTAAAGTAGAGATATGACCTAGTAGAGATATGTCCTAGTAGAGATATGACCTAGTAGAGATATGACCTAGTATAGATATGACCTAGCAGAGATATGTCCTAGTAGAGATATGACCTAGTATAGATATGTCCTAGTATAGATATGACCTAGTAGAGATATGACTAGCCTAAAGTAGAGATATGTCCTAGTAGAGATATGACCTAGTATAGATATGTCCTAGTAGAGATATGTTGTTGTTGCTTTGTTGTTCTTGTTGTTGTATTTATTATTTCTGTCTCAAATCTTTGTGTGTGTGTGTTGATTCTTCTATCCTTGTGGGAACCTAAAATCCCCAAAAGTCCCCACAAAGATAGTAAAACAAGGAAAATTCTCTCTCGTGGGGACTTTTCCCACATCCCCATGAGGACAAAGGCTATTTTAAGTTTAGGGGTTAAGTTTGGGGTTAGGGTTACAATTAGGGGTAGGGGTAGAATTAGGGTTAGGGTAAGGGGTTAGTGGTTAGGGTTAAGAGTTAAGTTTAGGTTTAGGGTTTGGGTTAGGGTTATGGGTTAAGGTTAGGGTTAGGGTTAGGGAAAAATAGGATTATAATGGAAATCAATTTTATGTCCTCACAGTGTTGGAAAAAGTACCCAGCTGTCATACTTGAGTAAAAGCAAAGAAGCCTTAATAGAAAATGACAAGTAAAAGTGAAAGTCACCCAGTAAATACTACTTGAGTAAAAGTCTAAATGTATTTGGTTTTATATACTTAAGTATCAAAAGTAAATATAATTGCTCAAATATACTTAAATATCAAAAGTAAAAGTAAAAGTATAAATCATTTCATATTCCTTATATTAAGCAAACCAGACGGCACCATTTTCTTGTTATTTTAATGTACATATAGCCAGTGGCACAGTCCAACACTCAGACATAATTTACAAACGAAGCATGTGTGTTTAGTGAGTCCGCCAGATCAGAGGCAGTAGGGATGACCAGGGATGTTCTCTTGATAAGTGAGTGAATTGGACTATTTTCCTGTCCTGCTAAGCATTCAAAATGTAACGAGTACTTTTGGGTGTCAAGGAAAATGTATGGAGTAAAAAATACATTATTTTCTTTAGGAATGTAGTGAAGTAAAAGTAAAAGTAGTAAAAATATAAATAGTAAAGTAAAGTACAGATACCCCCAAAAAACGACTTAAGTAGTACATTAAAGTATTTTTACTTAAGTACTTTACACAAATGAGAACAAAGCATTGTGGACAGCCTTGTAAAGAGGCTGTCAACCCGACAGGTGTGTGTGTGTGATAACCAGAGATAAACGAAACAACGTGTGTGTGTGTGTTACTGACCCTGCAGTTACTCAGTTCCTCAGCGGTGAATATGATGTTCCCACACTTCTTCCCTGGGATCCCACTGGATAGAGAGAAAAGGAGAAAAGAAAGAAATACAAAAAAATTAGCAGTACTGTGTTAGGGTCCTGTGTGGGTGATTTGTGTACATCATTTGCTTTTGTAATGCATTTTGTAAGGATCTATTAGTGTGCCTCTCTGTACGCATTCATGTACATGGAATGGAAGGTCGAGACCTTGAGTGAAATAGATACGCGCGCACACCATAGCTCACCTCATGTTAACAGTAGACATCTAATGGTCAGTCCTGATAACTTTACTACCTCACATTCAGACTCCAAATCAACAGATCTGAAAACAGCCCATCGCTCCACATTAGCACTCCACATAATAAACCCAGTGGAAGAGGCCTGACCTCAGATCAGATGTTGGCAGTCCAGGGAGATTCGTCTCCTCCTCCACACATGTTCTACATCCCAAATGGCACCTTATTCCCTATATAGTGCACTACTTTTGACCAGAGCCCATAAAGCCCATAAATAGGGAATAGGGTGCAATATGGGACACAACCATAGAAAATAGATGAGGGTTTTGGATGAGTACTTTTCACAAGGGTAGCCATTACCATTAAATCCAAGCAGACTAATTCTTTTTAGGGCCGATTTGAGTTTCTATCAAATGATGTATGAGGTGATCAGGGTAATTGTAATGACATTAGATTGAAAAATGGAGGCCAGACGGACTGGTGTTGAGAGGGGAATCCCTATTTAACAAGGGGCGGCTTTTTAATTTCTGTTACCACTATCAATCAATTTGCTGTGAGCGATGGTTTGGGAATAGCTTCATTAGATGTGTGTCAATGACAGAGAGAGGAAAGAAGCATCAGGTTTCTCTTCCCAAGAAGATCGTTTATATAGAAAAACAATTCACCATGTTTGACCTTTTAATGGCGTCAGACCAAGGCTCTGCATCTGTCCTCGTGCCCCTAGACCTTAGCGCTGCTTTTGACACCACAATCTTTTGGAGCGATTGGAAACCGTAATTAGTCTACACGGACAAGTTCTTGCCTGATTTAGATCTTATCTGTCGGAAAGATATCAGTTTGTCTCTGTGGATGGTTTGTCCTCAATTGTACGTTTCGGTGTTCCTCAAGGTTCCGTTTTAGGACCACTATTGTTTTCACTATATATTCTACCTCTTGGTGATGTCATTCGGAAATACAATGTCAACTTTCACTGCTATGTGGACGACACACAGCTGTACATTTCGATGAAACATGGTGAAGCCCCAAAACTGCCTACCCTGGAAGCCTGTGTTTCAGACATAAGGAAGTGGATGGCGGCAAATGTTTTACTTTTAAACTCGAACAGAACAGCGATGCTAGTTCTAGGTCCCAAGAAACAAAGAGATCTGCTGTTGGATCTGACAATTAATCTTGATGGTTGTACAGTCTTCTCAAATAAAATTGAGAAGGACCTCTGTGTTACTCTGGACCCTGATCTCTCTTTTGACGAACATATCAAGAATATTTCAAGGACAGCTTTTTTCCATCTTCGTAACATTGCAAAAATCTGAAACTTTTTGTCCAAAAATGATGAAGAAAAACTAATCCATGCTTTTGTCACTTCTAGATTCGACTACTGCAATGCTCTACTCTCCGGCTAACCGGATAAAGCACTAAATAAACTTCAGTTAGTGCTAACCACGGCTGCTAGAATCTTCACTAGAACCAATTAATTTGATCATATTACTCCAGTGCTAACCTCCTGTTAAGGCTAGGGCTGATTTCATGGTTTTACTGCTAACCTACAAAGCATTACATTGGCTTGCTCCTACCTATCGCTCCGATTTGGTCCTGCCGTACATACCTACACGTACGCTACGGTCACAAGACGCGGGCCTCCTTATTGTCCCTAGAATTTCTAAGCAAACAGCTGGAGGCAGGGCATTCTCCTATAGAGCTCAATTTTTATGGAATGGTCTGCCTATCCATGTGAGAGACGCATACTCGGCCTCAAACTTTAAATCTTTACTGAAGACTCATCTCTTCAGTAGGTCCTTTGATTGAGTGTAGTCTGGCCCAGGGGTGCAAAGGTGAACGGCAAGGCACGTGAGCGACGAACCGCCCTTGCTGTCTCTGCCTGGCCGGCTCCCCTCTCTCCACTGGGATTCTCTGCCTCTGACAGTATTACGGGGTCTGAGTCCCTGGCTTACTAGTGCTCTTCCATGCCGTCCCTAGGAGGGGTGCGTCACTTGAGTGGGTTGAGTCACTGACGTGATCTTCCTGTCCGGTTTTGCGCCACCTCGGGCTCGTGCGGTGAATGAGATCTTCGTGGGCTATACTCAGCCTTGTCTCAGGATAGTAAGTTGGTTGATATCCCTCTAGTGGTGTGGGGGCTGTGCTTGGGTGGGTGGGGTTATATCCTGCCTGGTTGGCCCTGTCCGAGGGTATCGTCGGAAGGGGCCACAGTGTCCCCCGACCCCCCCCCCGACCCTGCTGCAATAGTCTATGTGCCGGGGGGCTAGGGTCAGTCTGTTATATCTGGTGTAATTCTCCTGTCTTATCTGGTGTCCTGTGTGAATTTAACTATGCTCCCTCTAATTCTCTCCCTCCCTCCCCTCCCGGAGTTCCTGAGCCCTAAGACCATGGCTCAGGACTACCTGGCCTGATGACTCCTGGCTGTCCCCAGTCCACCTGGCCGTGCTGCTGCTCCAGTTTCCACTCTTCTGCCTGCGGCTATGGAACCCTGAACTGTTCACCGGACATTTTACCTTGTCCCAGACCTGCTGTTTTTGACTCTCTCTCTCTCTACTGCACCTGCTGTCTCGACCTCTGAATGCTTGGCTATGAAAAGCCAACTGACATTTACTCCTGAGGTACTGACCTGTTGCACCCTCTACAACCACTGTGATTATTATTTGACCCTGCTGGTCATCTATGAACGTTTGAACATCTTGAAGAACAATCTGGCCTTAATGGCCATGTACTCTTATAATCTCCACCCGGCACAGCCAGAAGAGGACTGGTCACCCCTCAGAGCCTGGTTCCTCTCTAGGTTTCTTCCTAGGTTCCTGACTTTCTAGGGAGTTTTTCCAAGCCCCCGTGCTTCTACATCTGCATTGCTTGCTGTTTGGGGTTTTAGGCTGGGTTTCTGTATAGCACTTTGTGACATCTGCTGATGTAAAAAGGGCTTTATAAATACATTTGATTGATTGATTGATATATATTTTGTCATGAATCTGCTTCCATGAGACTGTTGAGTAACAATGGTTGACACAACATTCATAATCAGAACAAGTTGACAGACAGTCAAATCCACCATGTAATACAATGATTTGCTCCATCCACTTGACATTGCATTATACATCTTCTAAGTGGGGCTATAGGATGATTAACATGCTTGCTGTGAGATCTAAGGGTGTTGTCGTAAACACCCTTGCCACACACACACACTCTGACGTGTTCACGACAGCTAGAGGTGGTAAATGTACCGGCGACAATGTATTTCACACACACACACACACACACACACCTGTCGGGTTGGCAGCCTCTTTCCAAGGCTGTCCACAATGCTTACAATGCCCTTGAACATTCTCTACCCAGCATTCCAGCCACACAGATCTTCTGTATTCTCCGCTAAGCCACTTTGACAGCCTGATTACTTCACAAGGGCAAACTCAAAGCTTGTTGCTGTCAGGAAAGACACCCTGACACCCTCGGTTTTGTTAAACACACACGTACGCACATACACGCACAAACACACAGAGAGACACACACACAGAGGGGCTAACAAACACTGATATACACAAAGACACAAACCCGTAAACTTGCACAAACAAAACACACACACACAAACAAACACACACACACCATCTACCTCCTCCACCTCTTTGTAAGTACAGTCACGCCGGCATTGAGATGAGAGGTAAAAACTCAGAAAGCAGCAATACAAACCATAATTAATTCACGTGTTTTTTTTGTTTTTTTATTCACGTGATTATTTATTTTGTATTATTCACATGTGATTTAGTTTCTTCCTCTGTTTAAAAAAAAATATTTTAACAAGAAGCACTCTATGACATAGCCAATCTCTCGCCCCAGGCCCAATTCAAACACTACCTGGAAGGCTGGATGTCTCTGGATGTCTCTGGATGTCTCTATGTCTCTATGTCTCTATTGATGTGAAAATGGTCTCATCCAGGGGTGCAACTTTGGTTTTAGAAGTGTGTGGGGGGACATCACTTTTTTTTAAATCGGATAAACACTCCAAACAGCCTACCCGACCGCTCGGAGGCGTCCGCATGGTCCTAAAGCACACCATTGCCTTGTTTTGTATCACATTCCAATGATAAAATTGGGGGGGGAACACAAAAATACAATTTCAGAATGCGGGTGGGGGGCTGGGGGGTGGGGGTTGGGGGGTACATGCAGCACAATATGAGTGAAGTCAATACGGGAGGAGGGTCATTCCATGTAATTTCAGCAAGCCATGTCACCAACCATCTCAGATTGTTCTAAAATCGTTTCTGTAGATAAAAACAGATAAGATTAGCATTCCTGAAACATAATTGTGCTGAATTATAATTTGCACAAGCTAAGCTAATTGATTGAACCCAAATTGGCCATTTTAATTTATAGGATTCATATTATCTTCAATAAATACAGTACCAAACATCCGATTTGGACCATAATTCTTCCTAACAACGAGTAAGATATGAGGAATCCAATAAAATTATCAAAAGTCATCCACAGACACCCCACACCCCACGCCAATCCCACCCCAACAACCAGTATACAGTATCCATTCTCTATGTCTGACAAGTAGCATGGAGCTGCTGCTTGGAGTATTGTTTCTTCAACCTTTGTAATGTATTCCCTGTGAATCTGGTGATGGTTTTCTTCCCCTATTCAGAGAAATTAGCCATTGAAGTCTCTTGCATTCTATACCGTAAATTAGTTGGAAAGTACCAAGTTCTGCCCACTAGATGCCGCTGTTCCTGCTACTGCCACCACACCCTTTTATCCATTTTGCGGGTCTCTTGTGTTTATTAAATGGATCACCACATTTTCTTTGCAACTTTGGGTGGAAAACCAATTGCTTTTGCTCATGATTAAAATAAATTGTGTGATCATCCTCACCATTACAGCCAGGCCTCCATGAAAGCAATTCAGCTTGTCCTTCTCTTAAACTTAATTTGTGTCCAGGAAACGGCTCCTCTGTGTGTGGTTTATTCCCTTAAAAAAAGGTCTGGATTAGTTATACCATTCCTGGCGATTG